TTTATCTCTGAAGCAGACGACTTCTCAAAAATTGTAGACCAGTGTAAGTGAAGCATGATATAATTGTAGTGTTAATGAAGTGTTATGCAGATTAGAATGGACCTGAAATTGCTTTTCTTTGAGTTTACATAGGCAAAGTAGCAGAATTCAAATATTTTATTATATGTATAATATATAATTGGTATTAATAAAATATAATCTTTATGAACCATCTTATATTTTTATGAAACTAGATCAAAGATATTGCGTTATAAGTGTCATACTGATTGTTTAAGCAATTTTCCCCTTCTGTTGACTAACTTAAGGTAATAAGTTAATATAAAAATAACATTTTACACTTCTATATTGCTTTTCATCCAAGGATCTTAAAATACTTTATAAACATTCGGCCAGTCAGTCCTTACTCAAGCAAAACTTCCATTTGCTTGAGTAAGTATGACTGAATTTGCTCCATTAACTAGTTAATCCTTGCACAAACTCTGAGTTCTTTTGAGATTAATTGTTGTATTAATTACAGTATGCTTATTTACAGCTTATTGAGTAATTTGTTACTGCCTTCTATTTGTTTATAATTAATTTGGCAGCCTTACTTGAAATAGAGGGAAGTGACATGTAGAGTGGAATTAAATTTAAAAAAATTAAAAAGGAAGAAAATGGTGGAATCTGTAAGGATCATCAGGGGGATAATCAGAACTCCCTGTGGGGACAATGTGCAAGGCCTCAGCATAGGACACATGTTTTAGTATGTAGTAGGACATCTGTATGCAAGGAGGAGTGGGAAGATTTGGAACACACATGAAAGTAGAACAGATTTGATGTAACAAAGTCTATTTGTCGTCTTAACTCACTAGTGGGATAATTTTTCTTAAACAAAATTTGGCAACCATGTGGATTCATGACATTCTTTACAGCATTTAAAATGTATTGAAGAGTATTCATATATTTTGAAAAACAAACCAAATCGAGGTTTATCGAGTGAAACCCCATACGTAACTATTATTTTTTAATCTGTGGAGTTCCTGAGCTCATGCGACGCAGTTAGACAGTTGTCCTTCCAAGTACACTGTAAGGCTCATCTATTTATTTGCCCAAGTATGCGTCTGGTGTGGACTTAAGTTGGGAGGTCTGCAAATGATGGGGTATGGATGGACAAGAGGATGACTGCCTATTATTGTTGCTAGTCATAATCATTGTAGTATTTTTATTTACATTAAGGTGCCCAGAGGCTGTTGCATTGTGAACATAATAAATTTCTACATAAATAAAATGTAAAGGCCTTAAATGGCCTAGTCATTAGTGTCAATTTGAAATAAAAATATCACATTTGTGGGGTTAGCCAGAGTATCAGTTTGATGCATTAGCAGACTGTTTTGAGAAATTTGGAAATTTGACTAGGCTCTTTCAATTAATGGACACATTGGGTGAAGTTCTTCTAGCCTTTCTTCATCTGAAACTGTCTCGACATCTACTCTGCCTGTATATTTGCCAACATTCTAGGTAGTCTGTGAAGTGTTGTAGGAGACATAGATGGCTGCTTCTGTCTGAGCTGAAATCAGCTCATAAAAATAATTATGGTCTAGGACAGAGGATCTCAAACTTCAGCAACCCAAGGACCCCCATTTTGATTTAAAATTTTTTGCAGACCCCCAAACCCTCCCGCTCAGCCCCAAGCCCCGTCCTCACTCTACTCCTCCCCCCAAGTCCCCACACCTTCCCCACCTCTTCCTGCCCCCTCTCCACCCATACCCCTCCTCTTCCATGTCTCTTTCTGCCCCCTCCCCAAGTGTGCTCCATCCCTGCTCCTCCCCTTCCCTCCCAACGCCTCCTGCACGCTGCGGAACAGCTGTTCCCCAGCGTGCAGGAGGCAGTGGGAGGGAGGTGGAGGAGTTGATCAGTGGGGTCCGTGGACCCCCTGGAGTACCCTCCCAGACCCCCAGGGGTCCGTGGACCCCAGTTTGAGAAATGCTGGTCTAGGATTTGGATGTATATGCTCACTGTTGGAGGAAGGGTTCCTAGGAGTATGAGGAAACAGCAGCATCTGTGTGTGGGCCTTATCACCAAGTGTCTTGGTCATAGGAAATACTGAATTGTTTACGGGCTCTGTCAGCGTAGCATTTTGCCAGGATGACTTGACTATATGCAGCATATGCAAATACACCATCAGGAAACATCTTATTTTAGAAAAAAGACTATGGCTGGGATTTTCAAAGGAGCTTAAGGGAGTTGGGCACCATAACCCCACTGATTTCAATAGGATTGATGCACCTAACTCCTCTAGCCATAAAGTCTCCTGGAGATACTCCAGTGGATTTCTGGGTCTTTGTCTTTGATGGAATTAGGCATTTGAGGTATATGGTGACTACAAATTGCTCTCTCCTCATAGAAAGAAGGATAGGAGACAAAGGGAAACTTTGAGGTTTTGAAGACCAGGAATAGTTCCCAACAAAAGAAAACTCTCAATTAGCTTTTTAGGAGTTTGGGATTTACTTGTTAGTGGTAGTGCGTTGGGAGGAGACTTCAAATCACATAGGGATGCTGCAAACACCCTATTAAGCTAGAAAAGCTTTTTATGGTGAGGGTTTCAGAGCACCGAAGGCCATATTATGAGCAACATTGTTACCTTCCTTCTTATTTTCTTGTTGTTTCTTGTCCTTTTAATGACTAAAGCCTGAAAACGGAGTGCATGGACTACTGGGTTTCCTGCTGTATTGCAACTGGTGGAGCCTACGGCCCAGATTCTCAGGATATTTCTACACCGGAGTCGGAGATGTAATTTCCAGCTTGTGTAGACTTACCCATGTTAGCTCTGATAGAGATAGCATGCTAAAAATAGAAGTGTAACCAAGAAAGGGATAGATAATAGAACAGAAAATATGATATTGCCTCTGTATAAATCCATGGTATGCCCACATCTTGAATACTGTGTGCAGATGTGGTTACCCCATCTCAAAAATATATATATTGGAATTGGAAAAGGTTCAGAAAAGGGCAACAAAAATTATTAGGGGTATGGAACGGCTTCTGTATGAGGAGAGACGTATAAGACTGGGACTTTTCATCTTGGAAAAGAGATAGCTAAGGGGAGATATGATTGAGGTCTATAAAATCATGACTGGTATAGAGAAAGTAGATAAGGAAGTGTTGTTTACTACTTCTCATAACATAAGAACTAGGGGACACCAAATGAAATTAATAGGCAGCAGGTTTAAAACAAATAAAAGGAAGTATTTCTTCACACAATGCACAGTCAACCTGTGGAACTCTTTGCCAGAGGATGTTGTGAAGGCCAAGACCATAACAGGGTTCAAAAAAGAACTAGATAAGTTCATGGAGGATAGATCCCTCAATGGCTATTAGCCAGGATGGGCAGAAAGGGTGTCCCTAGCCTCTGTTTGCCAGAAGCTGGGAATGAGCGACAGGGTATGGATCACTTGATGATTACCTGTTCTGTTCATTCCTTCTGGGGCACCTGGCATTGGCCACTGCCAGAAGACAGGATACTGGGCTAGATGGATCCTTGGTCTGACCCAGTAGGGCCATTCTTATGGCAGCGCAAGCAGTGGGATGGGCTAGCCATTCCAAGTACATACCTAGGATTTCAGAGGGATTGTACTTGGGCAGCTACCCCATCCCTCAGCTTGTGCCATTGCGGTTAACACTTCTATTTTTAGTGTGGTAGCTTGATGAAAGCTAGTTCTGCTTGAGCTAGAACTTATATCTCTGTGTTGGCATAATTGTTATGTTAAACAGGGTTAAACTTGCTGGTTTTATTTGAGTTTCATTTTGATATTCTGGTTTTGTTTGAACGTAAAATTCACACAGAATATCAAGCAGCACAAACCCATATGACTCAGAACTGAAGGAAAGATTCTCACAAACTTCTGTACACTCACCGTTGAGTTTAGCTCAAGTCTACAATGCACTTACAACAAATTACTTCAAAGCAATAAATGCACCATGGTGGGTAGCACCAGGGAGGTATCAAAGTACCTAATTTGTGGTTAGAAGAAACCTGGGGACCATGGAGTAAGTTTTGCCCTCTAGAAGGCTCCAACACACTAAAAAGAGCTTTGCTGAGAATACCTGCCACTTTCCTGACTCCTGTATCTGAGAAGACCAAACCCTGTGTACTGCAACTGTTAGCAGCGGGCTCCATAGAATTAAAATTGTGCTATTTTTTTAAAAAAATAAAAATCCTGCAATTTTTCCTTCTTTCCCCTAAAAACTCAGTGAAAAAACCTAAACTCACAAGTATGCCCTGAATTTTTCAGAAAAAGACAGTTGCATTTCATTAACAATAAATACATAAAGGAATACATTCATGATTCGTGATGATGATCCCTGATTTTGTGAATCTCTATATATCAGTCTAGAAAATGATTGATAAAATGTTCAGCAAAAATATGTTAGTTGTCATACAATACTTGATTAGGTTCTTCATTTGTTAGGTATCGTGCTTTTAAATTTAACCTTTCTTTCATATATCATTCTTCTACAGATGGAATTATCTCCTTGTTACTTGCTCGCTGTAAGAATAATACGAATGAGAAATCTCCGTCGGGCAGATACACGTGAGTGTCTCTACTCTTCCTAGAAATTGTTCCTCCTTCTGAAAGTAATCAGTGCACAACTGAACACTGCAAACACCATAAGTCAAAAAAAGGAAGTAATTGATATTACTAGGGTATACATAAACAGCGACAGTATCGCAGTATAGTTGATTATCAGAGCATGACCTGAGAACTAGTATTTATGTTATTGTGCAAGTATAACTAGTCAAATGACCTTCCATTTGTAGCAAGAAAGACAACATATTGTTCAAAACAAATTAAGAAGTGTCACAAGGTGTATTGTTTACCAGGAATGAAAAGGTACTAGTTTTTCTTTTACATATATATCAGTATCATAAACCATGTGTTTCTGAAATAATCCAGCATCTCATATAAATAAAACATGATGGGCCAAATGCATCTTTGTTATTATATTATTGAAATAAATGGAGCTACACCCGGGTTAAGATTGCTCTGATTGGTTTTAAAGACAAGTGTTTCTGTACTGTCTTCTACTGACAGGGCAGTTTCTAGAGTGCATTGAGATAATAGTCCATGCATTTTGGACAAGCTTAATTTTAAAAAAGCAGTATTTTCATGCCCACCTGGCAACCTGTTTTTCTCCAGTACACTTAAGAGAATCATCTTGACCTGTGAGTTTAGATGCACTTCATAAAGTTTGCTAAGATGCTTATTTCCTTTGGGGCTTATTTACTTTGAGATCTAATGAGACAGCTCTTTCCTTGTATTATAGACATTTTTTTTAAAAAAATGCATTCGACTCTTAGGTCAAAATAAGACAGCCATATAAAACATAAAGGGCCTGGTCCAATGTCTATTAAAATCAATGGGGTTCTTTCCATTCACTCCATTTGGGCATTGGATCAAGCTCAAAGTTTGTTTTGGCAACAGTTTATTACAGCTGACCACCTCAAGCTCGTGATCAATAACTTGCTACTACTGTCCCCCCATACATACATGACATAGCCAGGCCAAATCCTCAGCTGCCCCAAGCTGCCTCACCTGGCTATCTCCCCTGATTCTGGGGCTGCCCAAAGGTATCTGATGTTGTGTCTACACTAGAGACCTTACACCTTACTGTGTGGCCACTCTGTGCCGACGGGAGAGACCTCTCCTGTTGACATAATTAAACCACCCCCACCCAGCGACGGTAGCTATGTTGGCGGGAGAAGCTCTCCCACTGACATAGCGCTGTGCACACTGCTACTTATGCTGGCGAAACTTATGTTGCTCAGCGGGGTGTCTTTTTCACACCCCTGAGAGACATGAGTTTTGCTGACATAAGTGATAGTGTAGACATAGCCTAAATTAAGCTGGCTGCAGGGGTCCCATAAGAACAATTATACCAGCTCAGGTTTCGACAGAGCACTGTGCACTCTGACCCTCCCCCTCCCATCCTGACCATGCCCCTGACCTGCTTCTGTGTCCCTGAGGTGCCTCTTCTAAAGAGTGGTGAGGGAGCAGATGCTGTAGCACTGCATACTCTGGCTTTATGCCCAGAGCCCTTGGCTGTCTCTTCGGGGACACTTTCAGGCCACTTTGTGCTGAGCAGAGCTGGAGTTGAAGATATGCCTATGCAGTCTCTTTCTTCCAAAGGTCTATACTTTTTAATCACATGTTTTCTCTCTTGGCTTCACCCTACGTGTGGTTTGTGCTCGGAATCTGAACACTCCCATATACTTTACCCTTCTTGGGTGTGCTTAGCTCTCTGGTTCTTCAAACTAAACCTTGCAGTATCTATCTGCAATGTCTCTGATGCTGTACATGGGCATAGGGTTGAATTCAGAGGTGAATCTGAGGGAGTCCAGTGGGAATTGAAATTGGTGTTATTTGCACTTTTTTCAGGCCCCTCAATATGCATGTTATAGCAGTGTGGGCTCCTGTAGACTAAGTAGTTCTTGTTTACTTAGACTGTCTCATCATCACACCCACTTACCTGTATGTAACTTGTGCTCCTGCCCTGCCACATTACTTTTGAATTTGGCCCACTGAGTCAGAGTATAAATTGTATAACTCTCACACAGGTGGGGCTAGAAGAGAGGTATGCAGGAAAAAGAAACTAATACGAGAGTGTGAGTGCAAGCAGATCACCTCTGATTTAACTGGCACCTTACACCTTCCTCCATTTCCTTGACTACTTAAATCAATTTAAATTCCCTCTATGTTCTCTTACGCATTGGTAAGTGGGTGAAGTAGTTACAAGAGACTCACATTTTCAAAAATAGGCACTGAGTTTGGTGCCTAGCTTGAGACATGTTCGGCCTGATTTTCAGAGGTGCTGAGTACCTGCAGCTCCAGAGATAAGGGGTGCTTCAGCAGCTCTGAAAATCAGGCCTAAGGTGGACACTAAAAAATGGAGATACCCCAAATCAATGGTCTCTTTTGAAAATTTAGGCTCAGGAAGTCTGTAAGTGTAAAGTAGTCTAGCTTACATCACTTTCCACATCACCTCTGCTCTTTGCATCTGTATTTGCAGTATGTTTTACTTGATGATAGCAGAAGGCAACTCTATTTTTTCCTCAGTTTTTACCTTTCTGATCTTGATTCTGATCCATTTACATTAAATGAATAACAAAGTTCTTTCTGGATTCAGAGTAGCAGCCGTGTTAGTCTGTGTCCGCAAAAATAACAGGAGTACTTGTGGCACCTTAGAGACTAACAAATTTATTAGAGCATAAGCTTTCGTGGGCTACAACCCACTTTGCTAATGTTAATATTATTATTGGATAGCAATGGCTGCTGACCCAAAGGTGAATTCTCTTTATTTTCAAATGCTTGTTGAGCAATCTCATAATGGGGCAGCTATATATTACTATATGTAATGAAACAAGTACTATGTACATGGCATCTTTTAAAAATTCATGTGGAACAGAGAGTGATGGAATGTGATTATGAAACAGGGATGCGAAAAAACCTTGCCTCTTGCATGCAGGAAATGAGATCTAAATTTGTCTCTTATCTATATCTGGGAAACTATTTTAAAATATAGATGGTCTGTAACCAGAACCTTCTTTTTGAATCAGTGCAGCTATGCTAGCATAGATAAAAGGATGTAGGGGGTATGATCCTGTTTACAGTGTTTTGATTACAGTATGGATGCAAAATGGCATGGTCTTGGGACCCAGTTTGGCTCCCCCACTTCCTCAGCAACTGAAATATTACAGTATATTGCATAGCACAGAAACTACCAGCATACACATAAGTACAGTATAAAAGAATAAAGACAGCATTGCCTGCCAGGCCACACTCAGGAAAAAAATACATAAGCCAGGGTGCAAGAGTGGCGGGGCAGATTATTGTATATTTCAGAGGACTCTCTAGTACATAGCCAACAAATTTAATAAGGCCAATTTAACCGGTCTGAAGACACCAAAGAAATACAAAGAGAAACAGCAGAACTAAAATTCATTTGCAAATTTAACACCATTAATCTGGGCTTGAATAGGGACTGGGAGTGGCTGGCTCATTACAGAAGCAGCTTTTCCTCTCCTGGAATTGGCACCTCCTCATCTATTATTGGGAGTGGACTACATCCACGCTGATTGAATTGGCCCTGTCATCACTGGTTCTCCACTTGCGAAGTAACTCCCTGCTCTCCATGTGTCAGTATATAATGCCTGCATCTGTAACTTTCACTCTATGCGTCTGAAGAAGTGAGGTTTTTACCCACGAAAGCTTATGCCCAAATAAATCTGTTAGTCTTTAAGGTGCCACCAGACTCCTTGTTGTTTTCAAAGAAATACATAGTACCAAGCTGCATCTCTACAAAGACAGGTAAATCCTAACATGATATGCATGTAGCTAAAACCACCGTGTGGAATGTGTCTCACTTTCTATAGAATAGTTTTGTCAAACACTGGTCATATTGACCAAGAATTGAATTATTACCCAGATTAAAAAGACGTGCTTTACACATAGAAGATTGCACCATGGATCTGGAAACAGCATGGAGTCACACAAAAGACCAAATTTTATGTTTCCATACTGTAGTATCCTGCACTTACTCTGGGATTATGAAACAGCAATGCTGGCACATTAAATCAGAAGTGTTTCATCAAAGGCTCTTTTAAACTCTTATGCATATCAACTGGCATAAGATAATAAGGTTATGGGAAGAGGTTGCAAAATAATATCAAAGTGAAACTTTTAAATGCACAGTTTTGCTAGTTAGCTCACATCTATTGTCTATATTTAAGGCCCTTCATTTCTGGTTTTTATTGTTTTTAAATTTCCGGGGAATTTATCAATGTTTAATCAAAAAATGGGTGAAAATCAGGGCAAAAATTAATGTCACCGTTTTCTGGGTTAATATTGGGGGATAGGAGGACAGGAAAAAAGAATCACATATTGTAAGGGACCATTCAAGGTAGAGTGGCCAGTTACTACCTCTGCAGTTGTAGGACAAAAAGGGGGGGGCTAGTGGGTTACAGATTATTGTAATAAGCCATAAATCCAGTGTCTCTGTTCAGTCCATGATTCTTAGTGTCTAGCAGAATAAAGAATTTAAGCTCCCAGGCTCGTCTTTTGAAAGTGTTGTGCAGGTTTCCTTTGAGGATGAGGACTGATAGGTAAGAGCGATTGCTTTGTGAAAAGTGTTAATCCATAGGTGATAGGGTGTTTGTCTTTTATCATTTTCCTGTGAGTTAATGGGCCATTCTACCTTGCTTCAACTGAAGTCAATGAAAGCTGTGCGCTGGACATATAAAGTGCTATATAATTCTAAGTACTATGAAAAACCAGCTCCTGGGCATTTCAAATTGGGCACCCAATTGGGACACTTTTACTTCAATCTCTTTGTGCCTCAGTCCCCCATCTGTAAAATGGGCATAATAGCATCTGTTAATCACACAGAGGTGATGTTAGAATAAATTAATTCAATTTTGTGAAGCACTCAGACAATATAGTGGTGGCAGGGGTTCTGTGGGAAAATAGTATGTGATCATGAAATTAAAGACTGTGTCATAATGCATATGCACATGAGAACCGAATTAAGGCACAGGCCCGCTGCTGAGAACCTGAGATGTTATATATAAATTACCCTAATCTCTGTCTTTAAATAAATACAACTTAATTTTAGTGCAGTGCACTAATTTCTTCAGTGCCACTTAAGACGGGGAGTATTGATACATTAACATTTATGCTGTACCTCTTTTTATACAGTAAGCCATTCTGATTGCTACGTCAACCTGTCGTTGCCAACAGCTACATGTGAAAAGATCCAGACCAAAACTGTCAACGACTGCAGAAACCCAGTGTGGAATGAAACATTCTACTTCAGGATCCAGAGTCAGATCAAGGTAAGAAACTAAGAATTCCCCTCTTTCAGCAGCCTGGAGATCTGTTACCACTTACGCAGAAGTAGGACTTTCAAGTTTTCTACAACCTGCAGTTTAAAACACTAGACGATTAAAATACCCCCAGTAAAACTCTTTTGAGGTCATTTTCTCATTTTTGATAACTATTGGTTTGGAGAATTCATATTTTAAGTGTCTGGGGTAAATTAAGATAGCTAAAATTCATTCTTAATAAAGAAATTGTTATTTTTCGGAGTTAATGGAAACTACACTAGTAAACAGGAGCCACAAAATTCAGGCTTATTCTTAAACTTCATTACCACACAACCCCCTATAGGCACTGAATGACAACATGTTCTGTGTAACATGGAGGGAAACAGTGTATCATCATAACAAATTCAGTGATCCTAGGAATTGTTACTAACAATAAGTGCTAGTAAATATTCAGAATTTTGACCCCACGGGAAATTCTCATATTCTGAAATTCTTTTAATTCCAAATTGGGGGGAATCAAAATATTGATTGTTTTTTTTTTTGTGTAGCATGGAAAGTTCCAAAAAAAACTTGGTTCGGAAATGTTGAAATGAAACATTTGTACATTTCCACAGCAAAATGTTTCACTTCAGTTTGTTGAATGAAATCAAAACATGTTGTTTCAGCTTGGCTCAACATTAGTCTGTGTCCTCCTGAGCTACTGCAGTGCCTTATGGGAGTAGTAATTTTGGTGTCTCATGCCCCCATTCTCCTAAAAGGGCCAAAAGCCCCAGCTGGACTGCATCTCCTCGTATGAATCATGCTTGTTCAACCAGGATGAGTCTTCAGAGCATCATGGGAGATGGAGTCTAACCAGGAAGTCCAGTCCATAGAGGAGAATGGAGGTGCAAGGCACCCAAACTACAAATCCTATGAGGCATTGCAGCCGCTCAAGCAAATACAGTTTAATGTTGAATTAAACATTTCATTTAGATTTTTCCTAAAAGAAAATACAAAACTCCAGAAAAATCTACATTTTCCCAGAAAAGTTTTGATTTTGTGGAAACTGCATTTTCCATTAAAAAAGCAAGCAAACAAAAAAAAACCCACCAAAAAATAAACAAACCCCCAAACTCCAAAAACATTGTGATGAAGAATTCCCAACCAGCACTACTAACTACTACTGAATTGACTGATTCTTTAGTGGATGTTATATACCGCAATGTTTTATCTACTCAATACCTGACAAATTTTGAACCATTAAAGCGTTGAGATTCCTCACGGATTTTTACTTTGCTGTTCTATCTGCCATCAGAGTGATTCAGTCTCAGAACACAATGCACTCCATTCAGCTGTGAAGCTGAGCCGAGAGGCCTGAATTGGTGAATTGTGTGCATTACAACTAAACTGACGAATATGTAAGCCAGAAGAAGGGTTATTGTGGGAAAGCTGGTTGTATTGGGACAGAGAGGCCAGTGACTAGTGTCACATAAGGAACCTAATTTTCTACAATGAATTTAATTTCCCATATACATTTTGCTGTCAATAGAGTGTGCTGTTCTTTTATCCATAGAATACTCTTGCTGGAGAAGCCAGCACCGTTGGTAAGTTCTGTCAGCTGAACTGCAGTGATTCAATGAATTTACAGTTGCCAAATACTACGCTATATGTTGTCTCATTGTACTCATCTTTATACCATATCTATAATCTTAATAAAATTACTCTGTCAGAAGAAAACAACAATCTACATTTTTTTTTGCATATTGGTGTTTTTAAATATTAAATGACCAAAAGGATTCTAAGACCCAAATATTTAAAAAACAGCTAAGGTAGTAATGACACTTCAAGTAAGTGATGGTGAAACTACATTGTTAGAATAGTAACAATAACACTTAAAAGTTATATGCCACTTATGTTCAAAGTGCTTTATACACATTAACTAGTTAAGTATTATATTAACTAACTGTCAGGACATTTAGTTATTAAGAAATAAATATATGAAAACCTGGAAAATTTAAAGTTAAAGTTAAAGATCAAGTTAAAAATACCAAACATTTACAAGTCAAAAATGTTATAGTTTAGGTTAAAGCCTTTGTTAGCAGCTTGGTATCAAGCTAAAGTGCTGGGTAAACTGCAGGATATTTGGAATATTTCTTTAGTAAAAGGTATTTAATTTTTCAGCACACATATGGCATGTAAATATAATTTCCTTATATGTGACAACAAAAGATTTACTTGGTATTGCTGTGCAACTAGGCGTAATAATATAAAATCCCCACATACAGCATTAGAATTGCATTTAGTAGGTACTTTACCATAGTAATTACTATGTCACCTGCATGCTGATGTGTAGAAAATAAACCACATATTCTTATTACAGATTACATGGCATTTGCTTTGGCTCACTCTACCACTCAATGTAATTTGACAATAAATGAATTCTTGCAGTAACCACTGCTACACAATTCATAGGCAGTGTTCACCTGCCTGCTCAGTGAGACTGTATCAATTCGACCAAGTATGTGGCCCTGAGCTTTGTGCTAGAGGACAGGTTTTGCTCTTTAGTTACAGGCTACCCATAGCGGTCCTGCCCCGGATCACACTGAAGTCAATAGCATCATTTGCATTGATGTCAATGGGAGCAAAATGGAGCCCAATATATGTGGCCTGTAACTTAGAGACAAATCCTTCCCCCTCTTCCACAAAGTGAAAAGTCCCATATGCAATGAAACTGGTGAGTTTATACTGCACAGGAGCAGGATTTGTGGGGTCATGGGGCCCTGTACAGTCCCATGCAGTGGAGGTTGGGCATGTGGCCAGTGTATCCACCATCATGCAGATCCACCAATCATTTCTCCCTGAACAGCAAGGAATGTAGGAGCAGCTGGGATTTGGCTTCTAACGAATTTTCTAGATTCCTTCAGTTTTTCCATTGTCTCTCTCATGATATCTTTCCTACACAGGGCATGACAATTAGGTTCCTGGCTGTCATGGAGTGCTAATATGTGACAATTCATTGGAGGGGCCTGGTTTCTTACTTATGCTGCGGAAACAGAATGTATCATTCACTCACATACCTAACTTATAGCATTTAAATTGAACTGGGGAGGAAACTGTATTACTTAGATTTAGAATAGATTTCTTCAAAGTTGGATATTTGCAAAATTTCCGTATCCCTTCACTTTTCTTCCTCTCCCTGCACAAGGTAAAAATAGACTGTCCCCAGGAGTACTTGCTTCCTGGGCTCTGTGAAAGCCAGCATGTAGGATTGCTAAATCCCCTCATCTCCCTTCCCAGAACGTGCTGGAGCTGAGTGTCTACGATGAGGATGTCGTTACCCAGGACGATCACCTCTTCACTGTGTACTTCGATGTAGCTAAACTTCCACTTGGAGAAAGAGTTCTCATATACTTTAAGACTGACCCAAAGGTGAGATCCAAAATAATAGGCAGGGCTGGGTGAGAAAGACACACTTGCCTCGGTTTCCTGCCAGCTACTCATACTACTACTACTACTACTACTATTTTTCCTTCCTATGTCATGGATTGGCCAGCTATACCTCCAGTATGTCTCCGCTACTACACAGTAAAACTGCTTCACCTTTATACAGAGCAATTTGGCCTCAGCGTACTTGGCCAGTGGAACATGGCAAACATATGATGCTCTTGGCAAAGACCCTTTCTCCTGGTCTTGCCACTAAGAGCGAACCTCCCAGAGCCTGTCAACCCCAATGGCTGTAATCAGAGATCTGTTGTCCAAGTTTTCCATTGACCCAGCAACTGTGTGACTGTAACATCTAGATCTGGTACTAGTCTAAACTCAGCTAAAAATGATAGACACAATTTTCAAATACTGGCATCTGAATGAGATTTCTAAATCCCACATTTGGTCACTTAAATTGGCATTTAAAAACATGAATTCATATTTGAAAGGTAAATACAGGATCTAAATATATTTAAGTATCCTTATTTGGAAGACTGGGCTCTGTAGTTCACAAAAATTTTCTAAATGATTACATTACAATATCACGTATAGCTGAAATGGAGTGGCATACAGCAGGAAAGCTTAGCATCTAGACATCTGGCCATTGTATTTATGTTTTAACAATATCGCTGGCATATTGGTGCTGTTGATGCAAATATAAGGAACATTGGGCAGGAGAGTTAACAATGTCCCTTAATCATTCAGTAATAGCAGTTGTTTTTTAACATTCCTCAGAGAGGTCAAAGAGATGAGGTAACAGGACATATAACCCTGTTAACCTTCCCATATTAATAGCAAGAGCAGCTACTGGGTAGTAGAATAATGTCAAGAACAAAAAAATTAAGACCCTAGAAGATGAAGCAAACTGCAAAGTGACTGACTCTACACCAAAAAACAAAAATGTGTGTTAATTTGCAGAAGCTTCACAGAGTTTTAGGCCAGAAGGGACCATTAGAACATCTCATCTGACCCTCTGTATTTCACAGGCCATTAAATTTCACCCACTTCCTCCTCTATTGCATACCAGAGAACAAACCCTGTAGGGAGAGAATAGCATATAGTGACTTCACTCATTTCTGTTTTTTTTATTTTTAGGCACAGGAGGAACTAGAGGTAGAATTTACCTTGGAGAGCATGTAAGTGAAATACAAATTAATTAGAAGATGCAAAAATTCAGAGAGTAATAAACCAGCAATTGGAAACCTGCTTCATATAATTGCTGCCTCCAAAGAAAATTGCCAGACCCATTGGATTCAGAACTCTAGTAAATTCCCCACTGGAATCATGTATACAGCTTATCTGTATCAGCAGAATCTGGGTGTTTGTTCTATAATTTGATCACCTTTAATGTAAAAAAATTCTTCCTGGCATTGGCGAGTCTCTGCACAACATCAATTTGTGGCCTAGTTATACTCTTCAGAAGACTTATTTGTATCAATCTTTTTATGTATGCTCAAGCTCAGATGTGGTGGAAAATCTCTTGACTCATACTTGTAAATCGAATTGTTTGGTTAATTTTTCATCCTAATTCATACTCACAAAGCTGAGAATCCTTTGATTGCCACCCACAGCACCACTTCAGTCCCAGAAATTTTCTCCCCTATATACTAAATGATAAATAAATAATACAACATAGCTTTTTTCATCCATAGATCTCCATATGACAGGTGAGTCACATTGAGGTCACTCTCCTGCCTTAAATAGCTTTGCATATGGCGGGAACTCTTTGTTTCCAAACATAGTTCCCACGCCAGTCAGTGGAAAAACACTGGTATTCCAGGATGGATTCCAGTACCAGGTGACTTGATCACAGGACCTTTCAGTCATAACTCAAAGGCTAGTTGTAACATCCTCAGGAAGCCTTCCCAGGAAGGTGGGAGATTAGCATCTTCAAAGGCCTATTATTCTGTCTAATGGCTTTTCCTCACAGTGAGCCATCTAGACCAGTGGTTTTCAAACTGTGGGTCACAACCCAGTACTGGGTCACAGAACGTAAGGCCCTGGGTCACGGCAGCTCTGGTCAACACCACCGACCAGGCCATTAAAAGTCCCGTCGGCAGTGCCGCCCGGCTAAGGCAGGCTAGTCCCTACCTGTTTTGACACCGCGCTGCCCCCTCAAAGTGTCCAGCAGCTGGTCTGGCTCCTAGGTGGGGGGGCCATGGGGCTCCGCGTGCTGTCCCCACCCCGAGCACTGGCTTCCCACTCCCATGGGCTGGTTCCTTGCTAATGGGAGCTGGGGGGGCCGGTGCCTGTGCCTGGCAGCCGGACCTGCTGCTGGCTGCTTTTGGGGCACAGAGTCTTTTGGGTCTGCGGTGCCAGGACAGGCAGGAAGCTGCCTTAGCACCCCCACTGCGTCGCTGACTGGGAGCCCCCCAAGGTAAGCTGATGCCCCAGCCCTGTGCCTCAATCCCCTGCCCCAGCCCTGAGCTCCCCCCAAACCCCTTCCTGCACCCCAAACCCCTCATCCCCGGCCCCACCCCAGACCCTGCACCCCCAGCCCAGATCCCTGACCCCCTCCTGCATCCCAACCCCCTGCTCCAGCCCTGAGCCCCCCCAAACCCTCCTGTACCCCAAACCCCTCATCCCCGGCCCCACCCCAGAGCCCTGACCCCCTCCCACACCCCAACCCCCAGCCCAGAGCCCCCTCCCACACCCTGAACCCCTCATTCCCAGACCCACCCTGCAGCCCTCACCCCCACACCCCAACCCTCTTCCCCAGCCCTGAGCCCCCCCCCACCCTAAACCTCACAATTTTCTTCAACTGGGTTGCCAGAAAAAAAGTTTGAAAACCACTGCTCTAGACTGATTGCATTCTGACAGGTGGGCATTCCCCACACGTAAACCCACTTGTAATTGATACACAGTCAATATTCCTAACTTCAGATACAGAAATGATACATGCATACAAATAGGATAGTCATATTCAGTAAATCATAACCTTTCCAATGATATCTCACATGCCTTATCTTGCCCAAAATACATCTTAGTTATGTCATAATCACATCATAACAATATCTCTATGAAGAATATGGGGGTGTAGTGTCACACTTAGAATCAAGACACTTCCCAGCATGTATATCCTAGTGGACTAGCATAATGTTGGTAGATTAAATGTACTTGACAACATGGCCTGTCCTGAGAGGTGGAATTTAACTTGCTTAACTAAGAGTCCAATTTACATGGTTATGGGACTGTGATAGCACTGTGAAAAACTATTTAGCCCCATTATCAAGCATGATCAAAATTGTTTTTAAATTGTGATTTCTTCATATCAATCAGTTTTGGCACAATGGTAAGGCTCTGCTTAGAAGAACAAGAATAACAGGAACTGTAGCAGGTGTGCATAGTCAAAGCAAGCATTGTGAGGAACTTTGCATCACATATCTGCCACAGTTACTCTTGTTGCCTGGTCTTCGCTATCACTCCCAACACTTCCATATGAGTGACAAGCAAGATAAACATCCAGGGGGAAAAGAGTGGTCAACTTATTTAACCTAGCAGTGAAATATGTATTTTTCATTTTGTTTCCTAGTTCAGGCCCTCCTGAAGCCATCATAACTAATGGAGCACTAGTGGTAACTTTTTGTTCTGTGATCTTTCCTGTCATATAGCAATACTGGTAATACAGGTGGAACTAGAGAAGCTGTGAGCAGCTCCACAGTCAGCAGGCCAACACCCTCTCTTTCCTGTTGAGATAGGCTGGGAATGGAGTAACTATGATTTCTCTGCTATTCAGCTGTTTCACCCTATTTCTTAGAGTGTATATCCTAGAGTGTCCCACTATAGGAGAGGCTGTGATTGGAGTAGCTGTGAGTTCCCTCAAGCCAGCACTCCTCCAAAAATGTACACAGTAACTCCTACTTGCAAAAACTGGAAGTGGTATAACTGTGAACCTCCTCACAGCCAGTTCACCCACCCCATTCCCTACAGTGGGAGACGCTGAGATAGGTGTAGCTGTCAGCTCCCCCCAGACATCAGTCCACCACAATTTCATACAGTGACAGAGGAACTACCGCCACCTAAAAATTCATAACAATATTTTAGACAAGGGCTGTTTCCACCAATGACTCCTGTGCTCTCAGTAGATTTCTCTAATTATGTTTTTGCCTTGTTTGGTCTTTTGTATCCCTGTTAGGACCCTAAAAGTGCTGCCATTTTGCATCCTGACACACTTAACTCTAGACACCATTTAGTTTGTCATCAGCCCCCACTGACGATTAGATATGACTCCCCCAGAGCCTTTCACTTTCACTCATCATTGACTAGAGGGCTTAATGCTGAGCAGTGCCAGGCAATCAGCTCTTCCAGGGACTGAGAGTGCTGCCTTCACAGTGTTCAAACCCCACAGCCAGCTCAGATAGTAATAGATTAGGATGGGGAATGGAATCTCAAACTGAGACATTCTCTGTGATGAGTTGTTTTATTGTTCTTCTCTGTTACAGTCTCGTGCACTTTGCTGTTTGGAAGTTCAGGTGGATGAGAAGAAGCAGCAGAAATCAAGTGAGGTTACTGCTTTATTAACTGGCTGTTAATAACCAGATCCTTACACTGCTATAGTGATATGTGTTCTATAGATCATTACAATAAATGCATGGAATAAAATAATATTTTCAAATTATTTGAACTTTTTAACAACTACAGAAAGATGCGTGATCTCTGTTATGGATTACATTGATTCCATCACATACATCTATGCGGCTGTATGCAAACAGCCTACATTAAAACAACACTAAAGAGAAGATTTTAATCACACAAGTGTCAGGACATTCAGAGTTATGTTTCTATGATAGCAGCCTTAACTTTGGTCCCTTGCATTAGCTGATGTATATTACAACATGGTTTTCATTAGCAAACAGGAAATAATTCAGAGCCCTAAATTTTTGCATCTTTAATTACAGAAAGGAATTCAGAGTCTTTGTATTGTATTATTTTATTTATTAAACTATTGTATTAGTTTAACATGCAATAAACAAATCCATTGTAGAGCATCCATGCCATGGTGTAGAATTGGGGCAAGACCACCACACAAACAAACAAAACCCATAAAGGTAGATTTCTAAATCCAGATTTAGTGCCAGAACAATTTTCAGATGTGCTGAGCAGTCAGCATTATGATGCTATAATAACCCATGTAAGAACTATAAGGAAGATTATTATAATATCAACTTATTGTCTGTGAAGGAACTAAACATAAAACAAATGGAACCAAAGAAACAAGTCTATGAGGTCATTTAACAAGAACTCTTGGTTAATGTGTACGATATAAAATGCTATAGTAGAAATTTGTTTCACTGGAATATAGTGCAAAAAAATTTCCATTTAAAACCCCATGCGTATGAACCCCTTCAATACAAATCTCCTTCTTATCCTAATTTCAGCTACATCCCACCTATGTATATCATTTGTCAAAAATCTTGCTTGATTATTTTAATCCCTTTGATTCAAATATTTTTGATGTCTCCATGTCGTATTGAATAAATCGCTCTGTATTGTATGGCCTAAATTTTTAAAAGTGATGGTGATATTAATGTTAAACTGAAGACATCTGAAAAGGACCTGATTTTCAGTAGGCAGGTGCTCAGTACTTCCTAAAAGTCAGGCTCCCTCAAGGTGTCTCAAATTGGGTACCCAAAATCAGGCATCACTTTTGAAAATGTAAACCTATGTGTTTTGAGAGAGAAAAGAGCATATTTCATACATTACAATCATGGAACAAGGGCAATAAAATACAGTGTGTTGCGGAAAAGCTTGAAGAGATTGTTTAGTGTATCATACAGACACTTATTATTACGTACAGAAGTTGACTATTTTATGCAGATCATATTTAGTATTAATATTTTAGTAGATGAGCTACAGCTGTGAACCGGAATTAACTACCATGTTCAGTTTTTTAGTATGAAAAAGCATGGTAGTTATTTTTCATGAGCATTAGTTCTTTCACACTTGTATACAGTAGGTTTCATTTTGTTTAGCTGAGTAGTAGGCTTTTTCTAGAGGGATTATGTTTTTCTTGGCTTATTAGATGGACTCTTTGAATGCAATATAGAAAACTCCTAAGTATTTTCTTAAATTTGATCATGTAAGCATAATTTTGCAGTCGGATAATAATAAGGTTCTCTGTGTGCTTTTTCTTTTTCCATCAGGGAAAGACCTCTCCCTCACGGTGAAAGGTTCCTATGAAGGAACACAGGATCTTACACTGGGCCCTGATGCTATCATTAGCCCTTCATTTCCAACCAAGTTCCACTATGTCAAGTATATGGAGCCAACACTGAATGTTATGCTACCGAAGAAGAAGCGTTACAATGCTGTATGTTATAACTGTCCTTTATAAGCATAATAGTAATATGTAGATAACAGGATCTATTTTGATGGGGGAGCAGGGTAACCCTTTCCTTTTTGTGCAAATAAACTTTTTTTTCCCCCAGCGTACCTGTACCTACACTATAAACACAGGCCCCCCAGTTGTGATGCTGAATTCGCTCCCCATGGGAGAGAGAGTAACAGTAGCAGAGGTGAGTTCCGGCTGCCAGCCTTTAGGAATTAACAGTGACCCATTAAAAAATTATAATGTAAGAATAAAGAGCTAGATTATCCCCTCCCACAGAAAAAACCTGCAGGAGGGTACTAAGAGGGAGAAAAACTCTATGAATTTCTCCTCAGACCTTGGAGAAAGGAACTGCTTCCTTCTCCATGGAGCTGGGATCTGTGCTGCAGGGATGACTACTGCTTCTCTGGCTCCTTTTTCCATAGCAGCATAGGCGCTGCTCAAGGCCATGCTGTCATTTGGCTGGGTCATCTTGCACATGCTAACAGAGGATACAGAGATGGATAATACAACTGAGTTCAGAGCAGAGAAGGGTGTCACTGAGTATGACGCCTCCCTTGCTCCATCTCCACCTCCCATAAACAGTTTGCTGAGCCCCTTCTGCACTGAGCAAGCATCCGTAAAGGGACATTTTGTGGGGCTGGTGAAGGGGGATGGTGCCACAGCGTTGTCTTTTCAGTGTCCAGATCTCCAAGAGACAATTTGGGCCAATGCGATTAAAAAAAATACTGGTGTTGTGTAAATGTGTCTTGAACTGTCCTTTAAAAAGAGGAGAGGCAGGCTGGACAGCAGGGAGCCCCAATTCCCCAGCCTGTATGTATTCTGCCTCTTTAATTCCCCAGCCGCACTCCCTCCCCCTCCCCAACTCTGCCTCTCAGGACAGCTCCTCAGCTATACAGTAAGCTGGCCAGTCTGCCTTCATAGATTTAGAGGCAACCGTTGTCCTTTTGCTTCAGATGAAGAGGAGTTTCTTGGTACAGTTTATAATATCTGTCTTGCCATCAGTGCTCTCCATCTAGCTCTCTCTGTCTCAGAAGGGTGTATTGATGTCAACTATATGTACAGCACATTGCACTAAACAAAAAAAAATACAGACACACAAAGAAATATTATAAGGACTGTAACAACCACATTTTTAAACAATAGAGGCTAAGATTCACATGCAACAGGCTTACACATATTTGCACACAGAAACCTGTCCACTGCATATACAGATAGAAAATGTGTATGCAAATACCAATTAGCATGGTTAGCATGTGCAGTTAATTGCTTTGCCTGCATAAATGTGGGCACAAGCATTTCAATTTCCCCCAAAAATATTACTTCTAAGAAAAAATGAAATGTTTCTCAGTCTGGCAAACCTTTTTGAAACAACCTGGCATCCAATATGCTTCCTAACCACAGAAACAAGCTCCAGTTCTGGTACTTCAGGCTTTTGAGACTCATACGCTAGGCTTCCATTCTCGGCCTTAATCATGAGCCTTTCTGCTGGGGCCTGGTATATCTTATTTTCATTTGTGCACTGTCTAATACGCAATAGATCTTTGACTGTTTCTAGTCAAAGTCTTGCAGTTATGAGACTGAATCTGTGAGCTTCAGGATTTCACTCTTCATTGCGTTTGATGGTTTGCATAATTAAATGGGCACTGGAGGGAACTGGCTGGTGCCAATGAGGTCACAGTCAGGTAAATTGGTACAGTTGTCTGAAACCTTTGGGAAATACTGAGCTACTAAGAATAAATTCTATTACAAATAAATTAGTGGTTTTGAAGCTATATACATCTCTTGGATTAGTGGGGGACTCAATTTTGTGGCTGCTGTTCCTTGTTGGGGAGCAAATAAATCTCACTCTCAAGGCTGAAGGGAAGGAAGGAAAGCTTAAAACTATGATTGTACCTTCATAGCTACATTCTTGTTTTTCAGGAGAAAAGATTTGATTTGCATGTGAAGGCAGAAGACTGGTAAGAGCTTTTCTCCTGTTTCTTTGGATGCCAGTGACATTGTCAGCCAAGCTTTGCCCGTGCCACTTTCTGCATTTTTAAAAAAACAAACATTTTTGGATTGAAAACTAGAATGTATTTTTTAAAAGAATGCACAACACATACCCAATATATGACACTGGACATTAGATAGAAACTACATTAGACAGGGTAGCTAGCAATTTGTGCACACACTGACTGATATGTTGCCCACTTCCTTAGTGTTATCCATAATCTTATGTAATATATAGCTTGGGCAGATTAAGGCCCCAATTCAAGAAAGCATCCCTATTCAGGAGAGCACTAACGTACCTACTTAAAGTTAAATACATTCTTAAGTCCTTTCCTGAACAGGGAGAGGCTTAAACATGTACTTTAGTGCCTTCTTGAAGCATGGCCTTAATCAATCACAATACAGCAACGTTTATTCTTTTTCTGCATTAAAAAAAGGCTTTTTAGTTCTGTATACAGCAGTCACTGCAGAATAGCACATGATTTTCATAGGGGAGTCCCTCACCACCACTACCATCTTGATCAACTTGTCTGACAGTAATGACTAGTTTCTGCTGCTCAAGCTGATGAAAATACCTCGGGCTGCCAAACAATAAACTTATCTATAACTTTCTTTTAGAATGTGTAACTAATTTCAAAGCAGTCAAAAATTATATACCCACTATACCAAGCAGTTCAATTTAGTGTTACATCTGCTTATTAATTTATTTATCTTCCAGTCACAACACCAATAACAGCCCTGTATTACTGAGTTCACTAAATATAATCACTAAGGGTACGTCTTCACTACCCGCCGTATCGGCGGGTAGCAATCGATTTATCCGGGATCGATATATTGTGTCTCGTTAAGACGCGATATATCGATCCCCGAACGCGCTCACCGTCGACTCCGGAACTCCACCAGAGTGAGCGGCGGTAGCGCAGTCGACGAGGGCGCCGCGGCCGTCGATCCCGCGCCGTGTGGACCCCAGGTAATTCAATCCAAGATACTTCGACTTCAGCTACGCTATTCGCGTAGCTGAAGTTGCGTATCTTGGATCGATCCCCCCCCAGTGTAGACCAGCCCTAAGGGGCAAACCCTTCCCAACTGCACCAAGCCCAAGTAGCTGGGTTCTGTGAGTGGGAAAAAGGAATTCTTTCTCTGCTCTGGTTCAGCAGTGTAAAGTAGCTGCTCCATGCTTACCAGTACTCTTCTAAGGCTGTCATAGCTCATGCTGTTGTAACCCACACACCTTCTGGGTGGGATGTTCTGTCCCATCTTGTGGCACCGAGACCACTTAGAGAGAGATTAATGAGTCTTCTACAGCCTTAGCTAACAGCCATATGGCTGTTAGCTCATGCAGTAGAGGCTCATGCACTAAGCTCCAGAGGTCCCGGTTCGATCTCGACGATGACCGGGGTCTGTTGGTGTTACACTGTTCTCTTCCCTGCGCATTCTGTCATGAATGTTCTGGTGGATCTGAATAGTGATGGGTCCACTGCCTCCAGCCTAGCCCTGTCCTGCCCACATTCTTTGCTCTGTAAGCCAGTCCTTAGGATGCACAGCAGCTCAGATTCCCTGTATAGAGTCCACAGATCTCATCCTCTCCATGCCGCAGAACCTTACAAGTAGCATTGTACCAATGGCCATCTGCAGCCACTGAGCTAGGGACAGGATTTTCCATTAATATAGGTGGTGCAGCTAGATATGGGGATCTGCATCTGATGAGGAAAGGATAATCCTACTAATCACCATCAAAAACTATGTTAATATAAAATGAAAAGTAGTGTAGTGCTGCATGACTCCTGATCTGCATGGCACACCAGTACCGAACTCTGCTGTAAATGGTGACTTCTGCACCAGCACAACATAAATTCAGAATGAGTTTGCATTGCATTAAATATTTAAATGAATATTACAGTCAGTGCAGTGAACTTCTAAAATTGTTTATTGCAATAGAAACCTCATTCATTTCATAATGCAGCAGAAATTGCAATTCCAATGTAGAATTTAGCACAGAAATAAGAAAGTTGTGCTGAATAATTTAGGTCCAGACTGTTGAGGCTACACAGGATTCTGCTTGTAACTAATATTTTGTTGTTGAATTTTTCAAGCCTTTAGTCCAAAAGTTAATTTCATTTGAAATGCTGAAGAAAATCCATGTACCTGTTTCTGAGTTATCTTGGTGAAGGAAAAAAAATGTTTTCTATACTCTTTTCATCTTTGCACTTGGATAACTTTAAAAACAATTTTGTTTTTAAAATTTAAATTTGACACGCCCATAATTTTCCTCCTTGAGTAAGATTGTGCTTTGCAATTTGTGACTAAAACTAGACATGAAAGAAATCTACTAGTGCTTAGCTATGAAAAGCCATGCTTGAGTAGGAAGTTTAGAGTTTCTAGAGTGAAATCCTGGCCCCACTGAAATCAATGACAAAACTCCCATTTACTTCAATAGGGCCAGGATTAAACCCTGTATCCTGTATGGACTGCTGCCAGGAGAGGGCGTCATGATTACATATACTTCAGAGATGTTAAAAATGTAAATGTAATTCTGTGGTAGTATTTAGCCACAAGAGGGTGATGACACTCCACCAATTTTGCAGTCATCATTCAAGAGGCTCCTATGAAAATTTGGCCCTTTAGGTTTTTAACCTTAGAGGTAAAGCAGAAGTTCCACTTCAGTAAATTGCAACAATATATAACTTTAGCTAATTTTAGAAAATAAAATTAAAATATCAGCTAATACTGACATCATCCTCTTCTCTGCTTGTTATGTTACATCAACCTGATTATATAGGGGTGTGGAGAAGCTTTGTCTATACATATGTTTAGGGTTTTCTGTAGTGTAAGTCCTGAAATTGACTACGAATATTAATATGTAATAAGAATGCATGTGTTTGTCCTAGTCATTGTTCCTGTCCACAAGACCTAGATGTGCGCATAGGGTATGACCTGTGTGCAGAGGAGAAGGATTTCCTGTGCAAAAGAAAGAAGTATGTTGCTGCTGCCCTGAAAAACGTTCTCCAGCTAGAAGAGGACCTGCAGGACCATGAGGTATGTGAAGTGGAATCCTGGGTGTCCACTCTCTCCTTCCCTCATGTGAGTGCTCAGCAAACTGGACAGCAAATGTGGCTAATAAACAAATAATAGCTGGAGCATGTGCAACCCTTGTACCTAAAACAACGAGGAGTCCTTGTGGCACCTTAGAGACTAACACATTTATTGGGGCATAAGCTTTCATGGGTTAGAACCCACTTCATCAGATGCATATATATATACCTGCTACTGTATTTTCCACTCCATGCATCTGATGAAGTGGGTTCTAGCCCACGAAAGCTTATGCCCAAATAAATTTGTTAGTCTCTAAGGTGCCACAAGGACTCCTCGTTGTTTTTGCTGATACAGACTAACACAGCTACCCCTCTGAAACCTGTCACCCTGCAGCTACGTGTTTCTGTTCCAAAAGACCCTTAAGTTATGTTTTCATAAGTATAAAAATTATTGTTGTTGACACTTTTTCTGAACAGGTGTATCCTCTCAGCCGTTTGGGAGGTAAACTTGAAAGCTGGGTTAGATAGTTGCCTTTCAGGCGTCTGCTGAAGGTTTCCTCGATTTCCATATGGCTAAGATGACTACACTATGTGTGGCTCCCAAACTGTATTGATTCACATACTAGCTTCTTAAAAAATTGTTGTAAAGTGAATGGATGGAACATTAAGCTTACGTGCTGCCAGTGGTACTAGTACCAGAGTTTCCGAACCCCTGAATTCTAGGCCAATTGCAAAGACCTCAGTTACTTAGCTAATTAAAGACTACTGTATCTAAATGCAATCTGTGTCTCAGAAGTTTGTGCATTGCAGTGGCACATATGAGACACATATAACTCCTGGCCTGGTGTCTGACTGCCCAGCAAGGGGTCCCAGTGCTGCAGAGGCAGCACAATGAGGTCTTTATGGGGAAGGAGCACCATATGTGTCTCTCATATGTCTGGCCATTTTGTAATATGTACACCATCTCCAGTTCTGGGGCTCGTACCTGTATGTTCCATTCCGGACCATAAGTGGTCTTGAATGATAAATACTCATGCACACTAACTAAGCGAATTAGCAAGTATTTAATGCATTGCTTGAATTCCATCAATTATGGAGTGAGTGATAAACCCCCTCAAGGAGGCTCAGTTAACCTCTCCAGTGAATATTTTTTAAAACACCTGCTCTCTGTTGCAAGCTTGTGAATTCCAAAAGCAAAATTTCTGTTCGTTTAAGTAACTTAATGATCCTGGGGAAAAAAAAAAAAAAGTCCCTGTCAGGGGTGATTAAACAACATTTTTGAATTTTCTCACAGGTTGATAAGGAGATTTAAAAAAAGAAAGGGGGAATAGAATAGAATGAAGCAATAAGGAAATGAAATGGCTGGGGGTGAATACTACATTTCTTGCATTAATAAAAGCACCTGAATTTACTATGATTCCTGCCCTTCTCTATAGAGGCGGGGTTGACCCATTGGGTTTGGATCCATATCTGATTCCAAACTTACCCCGAGGGAAGATGTATTTGGATTTGCTGTTCCACTTCTGATCCAATAAACAGAGAGGCCTTAACTATGAAATTTTGGAACTGAACTGGGTCCAGTGTTCCATTTCCGGTCCATTTCCAGTTCTGAGTAATCATGTGTGCTTGGTTTGCACTATCTTTCTGTCTTTGTGTTGAACAGATTCCAGTGGTGGCCATCATGACAACAGGTGGTGGAATGAGATCATTTACAACAACATATGGCAGTCTATTGGGTCTCAAGAAATTAAATGTCTTAGACTGTGCAACATACCTGAGTGGTTTGTCTGGCACGACGTGGTAAGCAGAACTCAATCAGGGGTTTTATTTAATCTTTCTGTAAGATGTTGATACAAAGAGCTCTGGTAAAAAAAATATCATGGAGATGCTAATAGCAGCTCTCCATCATAAAGATTGTAATCCTATTTCTATTATGGAGAGCCTCCAGAGGTCAGGGTGCAACCAATTTCCATTATAAAACCTTATTTTAGCCCTTCCCCATAAGTTGTCTTGACATTTTGGTTTGGTCTGAAAATTGCCAGAATGGCTGTGAAGATTCTGCAAAGTTTGAAGAAAATCTAACAAACTGCTTTTCAGTTACAGGTCATTAAATATTACCTTAATTTGAAAGTTTGACTTTGTCTAACATTTCTTTATCTGCCTCTTGCTCAAAATGACTTATTACATCTTCCAGCTTTCCATCTACTGCAGTTAAAATCCTTTAATATGTTGCACCAGCTGTATCTGAAGAAAATGGGTAGTGTTTAAGCACTGTTGTTAGGGATTTGTTGTTGTTTATAGCTTTGGGTCCGAACCTGTTTCCACTGTTGTCCGTTGCTGGTTGGGACTACCACTACTATGAGGTGGGGCTGGTTGGCTGTACAATGGAAGCATGGCAGTGCAGTGTGCATATTCGTCCTGTATGCCGTACATTTGGGATGGGATCAACTATCCCTCCCAGTGCAGTTCCATTTCACCCTAAACATTGGTCTGTCTGTCTGGCAGCCTTTGGCCCAGAGTGACCAGTAATAAGCTAAATGGTGGCCTTAAAGTGGGGTGATACCACCACTGTAGTTAAGGTTGAGACTAGCTTAGGTGTGGCCTGCACTAGAAAGTTTAATCAGCATGGTTTAACAGCTGATTTTTCTAAGTGCTCTAAAATTTCACATTGAATATCAGGGTTGGAAGGGACCTCAGGAGGTTATCTAGTCCAACCCCCTGCTCAAAGCTGGACCAATCCCCAGACAGATTTTTGCCCCAGATCCCTAAATGGCCCCCTCAAGGATTGAACTCACAACCCTGGGTTTAGCAGGCCAATACTCAAACCACTGAGCTATCCCTCCCCACTGAAATAACATCAAGCAGGACTCCAAAGAGACAGATTAAGAATTTAGTAAATAGTTTATCACCTGACCAGGGACTTGAACCCTGGACCCTCAGATTAAAAGTCTGATGCTCTACCAATTGAGCTAGCCAGGCTCACATGCTTATTCTAACTATCTTAAAAATTGTTGTCTAACATGAGGCTCCAGAGTAGGATTAATGATCCAAATTTGAGGTAATTCGAAGTAGGGGGTTCTGAGATATAGTGCCTCCCCCCCAAAAAAAATCACGTGACATCAAAATGTTATGGCTCATATCTTTTTTCCTCACACTTTGGGCTCAAACTGTGGCTCTGAACCTCCCCAAACTTATATTAAAGAGCAGGAAGATGAGAGACTCTAATAAGCAGTGGTATTAGGGTAATGTAATCATGCCACATGCTCCTAACAATGGGACTGCGTCTGATCAAAGAAAAGCAAGGAGCTATGGCTCTCACATAAGAACGGCCATCCATCTAGCCCAGTATCCTGTCTTCCGACAGTGGCCAATGCCAGGTGCCCCAGAGGGAATGGACAGAACAGGTAATCATCAAGTGATCCATCTCCATCGCCCATTCCCAGTTCTGGCAAACAGAGGCTAGGGACACCATCCCGGCCCATTCTGGCCAAGAACCATTGATGGACCTATCCTCCATGAACTTATCTAGTTCTTTTTTGAATCCTATAGTCTTGGCCTTCACCACATCCTTTGGCAAAGAGTTCCACAGGTTGACTGTATGTTGTGTGAAGAAATACTTCCTTTTATTTGTTTTAAACCTGCTGCCTATTAATTTCATTTGGTGACACCTGGTTCTTGTGTAATGAGAAGGAGTAAATAACACTTTCTTATTTACTTTCTCTACACCAGTCATGATTTTATAGACCTCTATCATATCCCCCTTTAGTCATCTCTTTTCCAAGATGAAAAGTCCCAATCTTATTAATCTCTCCTCATATGGAAGCTGTTCCATAGCCCTAATAATTTTTGTTGACTTTCTGAACCTTTTTCAATTCCAATATATCTTTTTTGAGATGGGGTAACCACATCTGCACACAGTATTCAAGATGTGGACATACCATGAGTTTATATAGATATTTTCTGTCTTATTATCTATCCCATTCTTAATTCTTATTCCCAACATTTTGCTAGCTTTTTTGATTTGATTGCTGCTGCACATTGACTCCAAGATCTCTTTCTTGAGTGGTAATAGCTAATTCAGACCCTATCATTTTATATATATAGTTGGGATTATGTTGTCTAATGTGCGTTATTTTGCATTTGTCAGCATTGAATTTCATCTGCCATTTTGTTGCCCTGCAACCCAATTTTGTGAGATCCCTTTGTAGCCCTTTGCAGTCTGCTTTGGACTTAACTATCTTGAATAGTTTTGTATCATCTGCAAATTTTGCCACATCACCATTTACCCCTTTTTCCAGATCATTTATGAATACGTTGACTAATACTGATACCAGTATAGATCCCTGGGGGACACCACTATTTACCTCTCTCCATTCTGAAAACGGACCATTTATTCCTACCCTTTGTTTCCTATCTTTTAACTAGTTACCGATACATGAGAGGACCTTCCCTCTTATCCCATGATAGCTTACTTTGCTTAAGAGCCTTTGGTGTGGGACTTAAGAGCCTTTGGTGTTTGTTAAAGGGGTTTCTGAAAATCTAAGTACACTATATCCACTGGATCTCCCTTGTCCACATACTTGCTGACCACCTCAAAGAATTCTAGTAGATTGGTAAAGCATGATTTCCCTTTACAAAAACCATTTTGACTCTTCCTAAACAAATTATTTTCATTGATGTGTCTGACAATTCTGTTCTTTACTATAGTTTCATCCAGTTGCCAGGTACTGAAGCCAGGCTTACTGGCCTGTAATTGCCGGGATCACCTCTGGAGCCCTTTTTCAAAATTGGCATTACATTTGGTACAGAAATGACTTGCCCATCATCACACAGAGACCCTGTAGTAAAGCCAGGCTTTGAACCCACATTGCTTATGTCTTAGGGCATGACCGTAACCACACGACTACATTTCACCTCGCCTTTTCCTCTCACAAGGCCAGCAAAATCAAAGGGGTTGCTAAGCATTAGGAAATGAATCCAGAAAAGCCATATTCTAAGGAGTGCCATAAACTTGATGCTGACTGACTATAATATGATGCCAGGATACTATCAGTCAAAACGAACTTATATTTATCATGAAAAATAAACATAGAAAATAAAATTTCAACTCTACAATAAATTATCCAATCTATGCAAACTAAAGATTCACACCTATTAATTTCACCCTTTAAAATGCTGCAGTCATTGGAAAAAGGAAATATCAAACACCAGAAAAAATTTTACTCACACAGGCCTTTTATAGAACAGTCATAGAAACCTCAAATGATATTTTCCCGCACAAACTGCTATAAAAAAATCAAGTAGTGCACAAACTACAAGAAACACTTAAAACTGACACTCTAACAAAAGAACAGAATTTTTGTAAATTATTTTTTGTTTATGTTAATGTTTTTCTTTCTATATTACCCTTCCCCAGGACCATGTCACGCTTGTATAAAGATGCTTATTGGTCACAGAAGGATCTAGATGAGAAAATCCGTGAAGCCCAGAAATGTGCGACCAAATGCAAGATGAGTTGTTTCTCTATGGAGCGCATGAAATATTTTAACCAGCAGCTGTGTCAGCGTAAACAAGAGGGATACAGGACATCGTTTATAGATCTGTGGGGGCTGATCATTGAATATATGCTGCATGATGGGGTACAGTATCTATTTATTTTCTCAGAGAGCTGCAGATGTTTTCTCTATAAGAATTAGGAGCAATAAATCTGTGAGGAGAGATTGCATGCCCTGCGGTGCTGTAGAGTTATCTGCGTCAGGAAATTCTATTGGAATCAAATTTATTTTGGAATGGTTAGGTATAAAATGATACCATATATTGGGGTGGCCAAACTTACTGACCCTCCGAGCCGCATATGACAATCTTCAGAAGTTCGAGAGCCAGGGTGTACCAGCCGGAGTGAGGCTTCAGCCCCACGGGGCGCATCTGATGGGGGCTTCAGCTGCACTCCTGGTGAAGCCCAGAGCCCTGGAAGGCACTCCCCACCCGGCTAAAGCCCCAAGACTCCCCTCTCCGCAGGGCAGAAGCCCTGAGCTCCGCCCCAGTCTGGTAGGTGGAGAATGGGGTGCGCATGGGGGGCTCTGCAAGCTGCACTCTAACTGTAAAAGAGTCTCATGCGGCTCATGAACCAGTTTGGACACCCCTGCCAGACGTTAAATACATTGTATTTTGGCTGCAGGAACACTGAAAGTGCGACTGATCCTTAACTTCTTTGTGATGTTAAACTGGAGGCCAGACCTCTTTTTTGCAGATACAATTTGCACATGCAAAAAGAGTTGGCGGTGCAGATCACAATATTTTCATTTCTATGAAAATCCTATGTAACAGCAAGGTATTATGAGCAGTAGTAGCAGTACCTCCTAATCTACAACCAGAGTCTCATAGCTAGAGATGTATGTACCCTGTTTTGCATCCGCAGTTTAATTACAGGTACAAAAGTGTGAGTGCAAATTTTGCGAGTGGATATTGCACCTGCAAAGGTGCGGTCACTCTCCAAATTCAGCCTTGAACCATAGGAGCCATGAAATTCCACCACAATAGCTTGTGGCCCCCATTTGGGATTATTGGCATTATTCAGGTATAGTTTTTAAATTGAAAATGTATCTTTGAAAGCTGTCGAATGGCCACAGGGTTTTGACTTATAGCTCACAATTATCTGTGAAGTACACTGTGATGTCATCTCAACCTTAAGAGAGAGGTGAGTGAACGTGGGCATGTGCAACATCATTGATGCTTTTTCTGTGTTGCATTTCATATAGCTGGAGGTTATCACAAGATTTTTAATAAGTAAAGCATGCTTTTAAAAATCACTATGGAAATTAGGGTTGCATCAGCACTGCTATAACTGTAATTGAGGAAACACTCATCAGAATACTACTAGGGGGTGAAGTTGTCTATGCTTGTTCTAAGTGCAAGACAACATTTTACAACAGAATAGCATAAAATGTTTTTTTGCCCAGGCTTGAGATAGCCAAATGTGAAATAATGACACTTTTTACCAGTTAAAGATTTTCTATGCTGTTTTTGTGCTTAGATAACTCAAAACCAGCATTTCTGAAACTTGCAAAAAAGGTCTACTATATGAAGCATACTACTATATTTTGTAGATTTTTTTCTTTTAGAAATAATTAAATTATACATATTTCAGAATAGCAAACAGGTTAGTTTTATACTATCATTTTAAGTGATGCACTGAAATACAGTGCTCTTGATACGCTATAATATATGTATGTGTTTGTTTATGGAATGTTGTTCATTAAACTAGCGTGTATACTGTTTAGGTGGCTCTGTCTTATGCTAGATCATATGAAATCTTCTGCACACTTTAGCCAATTTTTCCTCCTTTTGAATAATCTCTACCATGTTTATTTAACTGTCAAACTGTCCATAATCTTCAAGGACATGCAGCTATCAAAGTTGTCTGCTGTTCATGGGACTTTGGAATATCCCAGACAGACAGACCCCCTGGTTACAAATACAGCCTTATAGAGAAGAACTTGGTTGGGATTCAGATATTTCACTATAATATTCTAAAACCTGACAAGGCACCAGATTATGATGGCCCTTGTGCAGTCACTGGGTGATGGAATCATGGAAGAAACCTACTCACCATCCCCTTATATGACCACTGAAGGGTCTCCCTCGATAGCAATCCCTTCAGTCAGAGAAAAGTAAGGACTATTTTCTCCCCACTCCGCCCTGGGGAGCAAATTGCCTGAAAGGGGTTGGGGGAGATGACAGGGTTGTGGCTCTTCCCTTCCTTCCATTCCTTGTACCAGCTCACAAAGCAAAGCTGAAATATCAGGAAGTGCAGACTGGGTACACCTGTGTGCATTGAGTAGCCTGGGGGGATTGTATCTGCCTGAGGAACAATCATTGCCAGTGTTTCTCCTAGGGTGGCAAGGCTCTGTGCCACCTTGCGTACAGGGCTGGGGCATAAATGCTGCAATCTAGTTCACAGTAGAGAGGTTCCTGTGTCATTTCATGCATTCTCAGGTAACTATTTTTCTTCAAAAACAGAAAGAGAACCATAAACTCTCGGACCAGCGGGAAGCGGTGAAAGAGGGTCAGAATCCATTGCCCATCTATGTGGCAGTCAATGTCCGGGACAAATATAGCACTCTAGATTTCAAAGGTAACAATGATGTTCAAGCAATGTGTTTGATTATAAATCTACCACGGTTTGGGTTTTGTCATAGGCATACCTGTTCAGTTGTTGTTGTTTGTTCTTTGCGCTCTGGAAACGCTTATAGACCGCAGCCCCATTTGTGCTGTACAAACATTTGCAGAGGGTATGTGTGCACTGCAATCAGGACAGCACATGTAGGCATATCCAAACTAGCCGTAATGGAGCTAGCTTGCTAAAAATAGCAGGGTAGCCATGGCAGCATAGGCAGCATAGCATGGGCTAGCCACCTGAGTACGTACATAGGGCTCTGGGCAGAATTGTACTTGGGTGGCTAGCCCATGCCATCACCATGTTGCCAGGCCTACACTGCTATTTTTAGTGACCTAGCATGATCAAAGCTGGTTCGGATATGCCTGCATGTGCTGCAGTTGTGCCTCATGTTTGTTATGTAGACATACCCAAAGAGATAGCCAAGGAGAGTTTTGGGGATTCCAAATTTCAGGATTCTGATCAGGATTAGAAGTAAAAGTGTAGAAATATCATATGACAGGCTGTTCTCAGAATATGATCTGGCCTGATTGGAAGAAGAAACCATTGGAAACATTTTGAGAAATAAATGCTGTTTTCATGACCCAAGAGGACTTCACTGAATCTTGCTCATCACTACTTCAGTTTTTTTCTCTTCAGCCAAGAAGAGAAAAAAGCAAATCAAGTACTGGGCTTCCTTTCACTGCTGAATTGCATGTATACACCTAATTTATGCGCACAATAGGCCTGATTCTGCTAACTCCACTGATGTCAGGGGAATACTTCTGGTGTAAAACCAGTGAAAGTGAAAGCAGAATCAGGCCTAGAGTACACACACAAAACAATGTATTTGTGTGTGCACATGCCAAGTTAATTGCCTAACTTGCATATAAGGTAACTTCACTTATAAAAGAGACACAAATTCATGAATTCAGCTTCATGCAGCTAACTTTGAAAATCTGGCCCAGAAGATCATAGAATCATAGAATATTAGGGTTGAACGAGATCTCAGGAGGTCATCTAGTCCAATCCCCTGCTCAAAGCCGGACCAACACCAACTAAATCATCCCAGCCAAGGCTTTGTCAAGCTGGGCCTTAAAAATCTCTAAGGATGGAGATTCCATCACCTCCCTAGTTAACCCATTCCAGTGCTTCACCAGCCTCCTAGTGAAATAGTGTTTACTAATGTCCAATCTAGATGGTGGTTTGTAAATTATACTTTGCAAAGATCAGATAGAAAACAGAAGGCTTATTCCATCTCAAACTCTTTGATTCATTTAGTAGCAGTTTCTCTCTTTCCAGTCATTTGGGAGACATTTCTAAATGTCTTTTTTGTGGCTCTGTTTGCAGAATGGGTTGAGTTCACTCCTTATGAGGTGGGATTCCTGAAATATGGAGCATTTGTTCGCACGGAGGATTTCGGAAGCGAGTTCTTTAATGGACGTCTGTTAAGGAGGCTCCCCGAAACCCGGATCTGTTACCTTCATGGTGATGTATTGTCCTGCGAAATGTCAACCTACTGTAATAACACAAAACCATAACCAGGAAGTGGATATTTGTTGGTCTGTAACATTCAGTACTAGGATAGTGCCTGCCAGGAGATGCATCTATCTATCTATCTATCTATCTATCTATCTATCTCATCCAAATAAGTCTGCTAAAGGAATGTTAAGATTGCAAAATAAAGTAATCAAAAGTTAGGAAATGCCATAATTAAAGTTGTCTATGCAACTATAATTTGGCCTCCTCGTTCATATGCAATATGATAGAATTGTACAACAAGCTGATTTTTTGGTTTAGTGGCTGAACAGAAAAATCAAAACCAAACCAAATATTTTTCACATTTTTTGGTGAAACAAAAAAGTCAGAACAGTTTGTTTCAGGTACCATGAAACATTTCACTTTACCCAAAATGAAACATTTCATTTTGATCTTGGTTTTTTTAAAAAAAAGTAAATTAAATTAAAAATAAGTGATTTTGAATAGAAAAATTGTAACTTTTCATTTAAAAAATGTCAAAACAATAGATTTAGATTTTTTCAGTTTTTTGTTTTTTACAGAAAAAATTCAGCAAATTTGACACAAGTCTGTGAAATGTTTCAGTTGACTGGAATCTGCATATTTTGGTGAAAAAAAGTTTAAAACAAAAAATTTCACCCCACTCTTAATTATGATAGAATCTTTAATGACATGTTTCCATACTATTTTTCCACAGGACCTCTGCCTCCAACAGTCTGTAGAGTGGATGGTGCTCACTCAATGAGCAACTATTCAATATTTTGTTTTCTCCTCATTGTTCAATGTCTGGCCCCAGGCCTTATTTACTGCACACCATTCAAACTCTGCTCTGGATACAGGATTATTAATGAACTCATGGGCTTTTTTGTGGTGCTTATCTCTGAAGTATTTGAGTGCTTCAAAACCATTATTTGAATTAGATTCACAACATCCCATGTGAGGTGAGAAGGTGGTATTATTCCCAATTTACAGATGGGGAACTGAAGCACAAAGAGATTAAGGTCAAAAGCATCCACTGATTTTGGGTGCCCAATTTGAGATGCCTAGGGCCTGATTTTTCAGAGTAGTTAGCATTAGATAGCACTTCATGTGTTCAAAGCACTTTCCAGTGACTTCAGATGCAGCTGTGTGTGCTCAGTGCTTCTGCAAATTAGATGCAAGAGTCTCAAGTCAGGCGCCCAGAAAGTGAGGCACACACAATTAGTGACTACGTGTGAGTAGTTTGGTTTAAGTAATTTGCCCAACATCATACAGGAACTTTGTGGCAGAGGCAGTGAGAGAATACAGTTCTCCAGAGCAGAATTCAATTGCCTTATACAGAAGACCATCCCTTCTCATTCTGCAATACTCTGCCTCATTCACTACTCACCTTTCAATTTCTGCACCAGACAAGACATGGATTCCTTTACTACATAACCCTGATTTATCCCCAGAGCAAGTCCATCCTGTGCATTACATGAGGCAGGGTTCTGTGGAAAAAATATTATGTCATCCTGTAATAGAGAATTCTATCATAATACATATGCACAACAGGGCAAATTAATGTTCCTTTAACATAGTGTTTTTGTATATAATTTCCTGGGTATTTAAAAAGCAAAAGAAAAAGCAGTAAATCCATCATAGGATATCATATTGACTACCACCTGGGTCATCAGCAGTGAGGGAAATTTTAGGACCACCACACAAGCCTCTGTCACTTGAGCTAAGGGAATAACTCGTAGCAGTAGTAGGTTGTCATCCTTTATGTGAACCAGCCACTAGCAGAGGATGAGACACATACTTTGCAAGAGGGGTTTCATAGATATTTGCTGATGGCAGAGGGTGATAAGATTCAGGAATATTTGGTTCTATTCCTGGTCTGGAAGGGAATGTTCTCTATTGGTGACACATACCTATCTGTCCTGATCCTGTCTCAGTCCTGTCTCTTCTTCCCTACCTCATTCCTGAATCTTTGTCCCAGGCTCTGCACCTGGCCAGCCCCAGCCGTCACTCCCTCTGGATCCTCATCCCAGTCTCCCCTTCCAGGATCTTCATCTGTTGTCAGCCCCCACTACATCAGAGTCACCTTCCCCAGTTTCCTCATTCCAGTACCCTCCAGCTCCTCGTTAGAATGGAGTTATTTGAAAAAAAAGAGTCTGAAGTTCAGGACATTCTGAGTTCTCAGTCCACAGCCAAGTTTAGCTTTGACTCCGTGTCTCTAGCCAGCATGCAGCTAATGGAGATATGGGTTTATCAGCAGTATTAGAAATGAGATGGTAATACATTCTATGCACATGCTGACTCCCATCTTCTCTTCCTTGGGAAGTAGTAAGGTCTTAACCTACATATCCTAAAAGCATGTTTAAAACGAAGTCAAACGGAGTGTTTTGCTCAAAGGTAATGTTGAAATGGTACATGTGGTTCCAGATGGGACCATTTGAGAGAGCTGTTCAGAGCAGCTCCCATCTGAGATGCCAAAAGTGCGAGTCTGAGAAGTTTGAGAGAGGGTGTGGGCAGAAAAGTTGATCTTAGAAGGAAAAAAAGAGTGGCTGGAATGTAGGGGGATGGGGAGGGTTTGGGGAGATGGCACAACCCTTCAACATACCAGGGGGACTTTTCCTTTTGATAGGGTAAACTGTTGGACAACCAGAGAATCCCCATTCAAAGGGGATTCAGGGCAACTCAAGGCTGGGACGACTTTTGTACAGACAGTGAAGTTAGGGAACCACCAGAAAAGGTAAGTGGATGGGATGATCTCAGGCTTATTGCAATAAAGCTCTATTCAGCTTCCTGAGAGAGTATTTCTACACCTGGATTTCTCTCCCATCACTTCCTCTGTTTCAAGTGCAACATTACTTGTGGTAAGTTAGAGATATAACACTCCCTGTGGTTGACTTCTTCAATTAGTTAAAATCAGCACCTTTGAAGTGTCAAATACATTAAAACTTGAAGGTTTAGGAATGTTTGAATTGTGCTCCTCAAGCTCCCTCAAAAATTAACTGGAAGAAAATTGAACAAGTTGATGGGGAAGGCAAATGGCTGTTTTCAATTAGATGCTTCCAAATGTTCACTAGATTAGTTTCCATAAAATCTTTTTCCCTTCACAGGCATGTGGAGCAGTGTATTTTCTCTGAACCTGTTATACATCTGGAGTTTGTCCAACAGTTCAGAGGACTTCTGGCACAGGTGGACTCGAGACAGAATAGTTGATATTGGTGAGACATTTGTATACCTCAACTTTGCCTTTCATTCATGTTTAAATTGGAGATTCATGCCTGTCTGACATGTGAAGCCTGTCACATAGTGTGAACATATTCTCTCCAGGAAGGTTTTTTTTAAACTCTTACTGCAGAAGCCACAGATGGAGCTAGGGGAATGCCTTTGCTGCTGTGCAAAGTTCTTTTGGCTGGTCTAGGAGCAGCACTGATGGGACCCTCCTCAGCTGAAAGAGAATTACCATGATGCATGGACTTAAAGGAGGAGGATTCAAATCAGGAGGAAATATTGCTGCAATTATGATAACTACTAAAACTACAGAGTGTGTTAAAAAGGGGTAAGCTTCAGCAGGCAGTTGAAAGTTGCCACACATCCTGCAGAAAAGGATGCAGCATCACATTTGCTGTTGAATCTCACAGACCAGCACCAGAACCAGAACCAGAGACCAACGCAGAGACTAAAACTAGGCAATATTACAGCAACAACAGTACCATGATTACTTTAAAAGTTATTGTTTGTTGGTTAAATAAATCATCCTCACACCTGCCTCAACCATCACTTAAATACAAGGACAACACCCCAAAATAATTATACGGAACCAAAGCTTTTCCTCTCCTTGTCTCCCCTTGTACAGAGGAAGAGCCTATGCTGCCTACGAGGCCACATGAGGTGAAAACTCACATGCTCACTCCTGAAGGCCCTTTTTCCAGTGCTCTTCGAGATGCTTTAACAGATCGTCTGTCAGTTGCTCAATATCACAATTTCCTCAAGGGCTTCCAGGTGCATAATGACTACCTGGGGAATGAGAAGTTTTGTAGATGGAAAGGTAATAGCATTGGGTTTTTAAACTGCATCTTTTGAGGTGGTTTTGGGTGTGGAATTTAGTGAGGCGGCCTGGGCTTGGAGGAGAGTGTATGAGCATCAATTTCTAACCCACCATAAGTAGCAAAATTTGAATCTAATTTAGAAAACAATTGTTTGACCAATCACCTGAATTGTGCAAGGCTGAAAATCTGTAGTGATATCAGTTTGATAGGGCTTAACTCCTGTCTCCTTGGAGTACAGTCACTGAGTTTAACTAACTGACGTTTAGCAAAGTTCATAGTTTTCTATGAGCAGAAAGAAAGGACTAAGGCTCCAATCCAGCAAAGTAGACAAGTATGCGTTTAAAGATTAGCATGTGCTTATGAGCTTTGCTGGACTGGGGCTTCATGGGCAGGCAGAAGGAGAGAGTTGGGTGCCCCCTGCAGGTCAAGGATGGGGTTGAACTGTTTAAGGGAGCCAGGAATAGAACAAACACGGAGAATCCTAAATCAGAGAAGGTTGTTTCTTTAGGATAAAGCTGAGCTATAGTAGTATGGCAATGAAATTCAATTGGCAGTGTGGGATGAGCCCTTTCTTTTTCAACTCTGTTTTCTTCAAAGAAGTTGCAGATTTGCTCATACATTGTTTTTCTTCTGACAAAAAATATTTGCCTTTTAGATACTGTGTTAGACATGTCTCCCAACCAGCTGAGCGAGCAACCAGATCTCCTTGGCATGGTAGATGCTGGATTTTTCATCAATACCAGCTGCCCACCACTTTTAAGGCTAGAGAGGAAAGTGGATGTCATCCTGCATTTAAGTTACAGTGCAGGATCGCAGACATTGGTGAGATGAGTCAATTTATCATTTGTTTTCTCCAGTGACAGCCTTTTGCCTGTGACCTTCCAATACTTAATAGCTAGAAATATTATGTTATTTCAACTAATTTATTAAATTAATTACATTTTAATCCCTATATTTCCATTTCCAAGCATTAGAAGAGGAAGGTGATTCCAGGAGAGAGAAAATTCAGCTGCCAATTTCAGTGGTATGAATCCTTGTTTCAGACCATTGATCTACACATTACAGTTAATTAAAACATTTCACTTCCATCTTCATGTGATCTCATCATCACAGATCACTAGGGCTTAGAAACTGAAAAAAAAAAAAAAAGAAGAAGAAAGGATACGGTTGTAGAATTCTTTTAGTACCAGAGATTTGTGAGATGCATTCCACCTGCGGTGAGTCTTTCAGTGTAGCAGTTAATGAAATTGTTCCAATTCCCTCTATTATGCTGGGAATGTCTGATGTTGATTTATGAATGTATTGAATCTTCTGAAAGACATCAGTCCGTTTTCCACCAGAGTTGTAAAAGGGACCTGTTGTGATATACACTGAATTGATTATGACTTCAGCTCAGACAAGATGGCTAATATTGCGGAAAATTCAAAGATGCTGCATAGGAATGCAAGGATCTTCTGTTGAGTCACACTAAACTCAGATTCTAGAAGTGTGAATAAAGATGAAGAGTAATTTCTGCTGCCTCCAACTAGATGTGTGTGTGTGTATATCTATATCTATATCTATGACATGACAGCCTCTCTGGAGCAGAAGAATTTTACAGGCTGGGAATGAGGGATACTACAGGGAAAGCTCTGGAAGCTATCTTTGGGGGAGAATTGAGGCAGAATCTTAGGTTTTGTGGTTAAGTTAATTAAGTTACCTATAAAGCCTTAGCCCAGGGAAGGAGCAAATTTGGATATTTATATTAAGTGTATTTACTTTGTTAGGGACTGCTGGGAATGCCATGTGCTTACATTGACCATCTTTGTAACATGAGGCTATTGACATATTTGAATAGACTGGTTTTTTTGTGAGTGACAATAGCTATGCCCCTACTTTTCAAGTTATATGATACACCGTATGTACGCCTAACAAAGCATCATTTCATCTTATGGCATCCACTGGGATAAAATGAGTTTCATGTAGGAAGGATGCTGAGATTTTAGCATGTTGATACAAACTATTTTCTATTTGTTTAGCATATATAGAATAGTATAGATGCTAGATGTGTGCATTTCAGGTTGTGAATCAAGTAAGATATATTATGTTACTTGAGTCAGAGTATTATAGCTAATGAAAATGTAATCAAATTAAAAATATTATCATGATACTTATATACAAGGGTATGGGGTTGCATGCGCAAACCAAACTTTGTTTCCTGACGTTTGAGCACTTAATCATGAAACCAAAACATTTTCTTAATGTAGTTTTTTCTGACTGAATTCCATAAATTATATTTAATACAGCCTCTTTCTTTTTCTGACACTTCATGCTTTACTCTAAACTTTTATTATAGCGGTCCTATTTAAGACCCTGTTTTAAGAATTCTTATCAATCTATATTTCAAGTTATAAGTCTAGCTTTAAAACTCTATTTACAGTTTGTAACAGTTACTGAGTTCTATTTGTATCATGTGATGATTTTGTGTTGAGTACTCGCGGTGTGGGGGGGGGAGGGTAGCAACAATACATAGTAGATGCTATTTAACATAGTCCATGGGTCTCAAACTACATGCAGCCTCACAGGTGTGCCAGGAGTATCTTATAGGTATCCTATAATCTTAACCTCTTTGGGCTCTAATACTGTTCACTTCTGTAATGCTCTAGCCTCTGGACCAGGCCTGTAAATACTATGCAGATCAGAAAATCCCATTCCCCAAAGTTTTCCTGAGTGAGGAAGATAGGAAAAATCTAAAGGAGTGTTACCTGTTTCAAGATTCAGAAACCCCAGGAAGCCCCATCGTGGTATTTTTCCCACTTGTGAATGACACCTTCCAATATTATAAAGCACCTGGTAAGTTGTTAACAGCTGCAAAGCATTTAACTAAGGGTCAGCATGGCCGGTCTACCCACTGACTGGATCCCCATTTCTCATTTGATGACTCTTTCTACTGGCTGGGTCCCCGTTGGTCATTTCAATTCCATGAACCTCTCCACTGGTTAAAGTTACCATTTTCATTGTTACTTGTATCATCAACTGTCCCTTGCTATGAGATGCTCAGCCCTTGAAACATGAGTCTGAAACATTCTCTCTCACAAATCTGTTTATTATTAGTGTAAAATGTTGTCATCCAACTGCGATAAACCCAATACCACAGCAATGTCCTTTTGAATCTTTTTCCTAGGTATGAAGCGCTGCTGCTCAGAGATGGAGGGGGGCAAAGTTGATGTTACTAGTTGCACTTCCCCATATAATACATTCTCAGTGAGATACACTGATGAGAATTACCACCAGCTGGTAAATCTAAGTGAATACAACATCCTGAATAACGCACACCTGATTCTGCAGGCCTTGCGTACGGCAGTGGAACAGAAAAGGCAACATAAAAAGTAGACACCAGCCTATATCTTCAGGGTTGAGATTTTTGTATTTCCCAGCACATGGAAGGACCAAAGCTTGCTGATGATTGACCATTACACGCCATAGAAGCTGCTTAACTTGGATACCTCAGTGGATTCTCTTTCATCTCTGTGAAATGGCTGACTTAGATAACCAAAATTCACCATCTGTGAAGACTTTATACAAACTTTGTTCCCTAATTAATTTAATTACAACAAAGCTGTTTGTAGACCACTTTAAAATTATTCCAGAAATCTAATAATGAAGTTTAAATAATGTTAAGCTAATACAGTGTAATTTATGGCATATAGGAAATATATTTTAAAATATAAAAGTAAACCAAGACAACATAGGTGCAATTATAACACCAACAGACACTGGTCATCAGCGGGTGGGATTGAACCAGGGGCCTCTGGAGTTTAGTGCATGAGCTTCTACCACATGAGTTAAAAGCCAACTGGCTGTTAGCTAAGGCTGTAGAGCAGACTCATCAACTGCTCTTTCTTTAAGTGGTCTCAGTGCCACTAGATGGAACAGAACACCATACCCAGAAGGTGTGTGGGTTACACAATCACTGGGGGGAATGGGATGAGTTGAATGAGTGGTTTCTGCCCTACAACTTTCCTTCCTCTAATGCAGTCCACACCAAACTTTCTTGTGCCAATGAGGAAAACAGGAGATGCTTCTTTTCTTCCTTCCCTCCCACTGCTGCTAGTCTCTGTAATAGCCCCCAATTAAACCATTCCTTCACCTTCCCTGCTGTAGCCCCTGTGGTTGGTCTGGTCATACGGGTCTAGCTTCATGCATAATCTGAGGCAGAGATAGAAGTGTCAGCTGCTGCAGGGCTTATTCCTCCTGCCTTCAGGGAGTGATGTAGAAAGGCTGCATAAAGATACCCCTTTTTTCCCACCAGTTATGTTCCCAATTCTGAGGTAACACTGAACCCAGGAGGGGGCACCAGAAAGCTCTTAAGCAGGAGCCATGCACTCAGGAGTGGTGCATATACTGCATAAAGCAAAGTATCCACACCATGCAGATGGCATTTGATCCTCAAAACTACTTTCAGTTTAGCAATTATCTTGAAGGTCTGTGTCAAAGTGTCTGGAAACACAATAAGGACAAATGCCCTGCACAGTCATAAAACAGAGCAGTGAATGGCTTCTAGTTGTGTAATGAGCCCTCTTAGATTTGGGTGAATCAGACACACAGGTAGAGTAGCATACTGGAGAGTCAAACTCTGTACCTGCATGCTCCGCCCCACTGGTAGCTTCAGGTGGATAGCAGACCTATATGTGGGATCAAAGACTGACAGGGTGTTGGATTAAAAAAAAACATATTTTTTTTATGGAAAGTGTCTTTCCACTACTGTGAGAGCGCCTGGTGTTAGCTGTAAAATGACAAACATACAAATGTAGCAGTCGCTGCATTTCACAAACAAGATATGTTGACAGTAATTCCCACTTTACTAATAAACTTGATGTCCTGATGCTGCAAATCTACAGCTCAGGGCCCAGACATTAGTTTTTAAGAACTCAGAGTTGTGAATAAATCTGTGTTTTTGTTCCTTTTCTGCAACACCTTCTATAGTAAGCTCACTAGCTTTAATCTGAAATAACATGCTCTGTATGCCACATCAACAACATAAGAAATATCACCCATAGCACTTGCACCAGTTGGGATGAAATGTTAGTTATAAGCAAATATTTAATGTTTTGATATGTTGCACAATAAAGGGTTGTTTGCAAAAGGTAAAATCAGCCTCTGCTCATATATTCAACTGATACACTTCAGTGACCTATTTCATGATCACATCATGTTCTTTGTGACAGCTATTATTGGGACAAAAAGCATAACAAACAAAGCCTCGTTATGAGTATAGTGAATAAAGGAACAAACTATCCACACTTACCCCGATTTCTGCTATCTTTCTGAACAGCCTGATATGTGAGTTGATCTGGGGGCATGTGATTCCCCTTAACTGCATTTGGTATGATTTACAAATGTTATCCGTGGTAAGTCAAATCTGAAGAATGATTTCCTGCAGCCTGTAACTTGTGCAGAAGAATGTATACCATCGTTAACTCCCCTCTGCACAAGGAGCATAAATTATGCTTTGCACTCCTTGTGGGATTTTATTGCACTTCATCATCATATGTTCATACGGTGTTATGATATCTAAAAAGGACAAACTGTGTTCTTAGTTGAGCGTCTACTTCTGACAGTAGACCCTATGGGGCCAACTCCTCAAGTAGTATAAATAGTGTAGCTTCATTGACTTAAATGGAGCTGTGCTGATTTAGAGCTGCTGAGGATGTGGCCCTAAATATCACAGTTAGGCCTGGTCTACACTACGACTTTAATTTGGATTTAGCTGCGTTAATCCGAATTAACCCTTCACCCGTCCACACTACAGAGCCAGTTAATTCGAATTAAAGGGCACTTAAAATCGATTTCTGTACTCCACCTCGACGAGCGGAGTAGCGCCAAAATCGATTTTGTTAATTCGAATTAGGGTTAGTGTGGCCGCACACCACCGAATTAATGTGGTTAAATTAATGGGATAGTGTGGCCGCACACCACCGAATTAATGTGGTTAAAAACCGAATTAATGTGCTTAGTGTGGCCGCACACAATCGAATTTATACAACCTGTTTCCCAAATTCGAATTATCTAAATTCGGATTAATCCCGTAGTGTAGACATACCCTTAGTATTTTCATTATATTCTGGAGATCACTGCTGTAAACAACACAGCTATGCATTGCACTCTGGAACTGTAGTGCCTACTTTTCCTTTTCCTCATCCACTATTTACTAGAATATGGTGATTTCATTACACAATGTATTTCAGTTTACCAAGAGCCACCACTGCTAGAGTGTGCTAATAAAGAGCCATTATTAACTTGATGGAGCCATATTTTGCAGTAAAATATGCAATCAGCTCACATTAATTAATTAATTAAAAGGCTGTGCTATTGAGTTCTGATCTCAGAAATCCAACCCAGCCACTTACACCTGTGTTTGATTTAGAGCTGGTCTACACTAGGGTTGGGGGTTGATGTAAGATACGCAACTTCAGCTACGGGAATAGCGTAGCTGAAGTCGACGTATCTTATTTCGACTTACCTCGGGTCCTCACGGCGCGGGATCGACGGCCGCGGCTCCCCCGTTGACTCTGCTACCGCCGCTCGCCCTGGTGGAGTTCTGGAGTTGACGGGTGTGCGTTCGGGGATCGATATATCGCGTCTAGATGAGACGCGATATATCGATCCCCAATAGATCGATTACTACCCGCCGATTTGGATATGTGTATGCTTGTCGCCAAGGATATGTGTATGCTTTCTGACTGCCTGGATTGTGCTCAGCACCATATAATAATGGATAAGAAATGTGAATGAGTACTTTCCCTGATGAAATAATATACTGTGTACTGTCTCCCAGCGTGACTAGTACTCCCATGTGCTGTTCAGATATATACTTGCCCATTGCATATTTAAATTAAAGATTGTAATTAATTCAGAATATTTGATATAAATATTTGCCCAGCCCTAGTCCCTGGGGAAGAAGAGAATTTCCATAGGGATTAGCCAGAGGAGATTCAGCAACATCATGTCTTCACAACCTCAGGAGCCCCCTGGGATCTGCACAGCCAATGTTCCTGAACCTTTCTTTATACTGAATGGGGCTGGACATTTGTCTGGTTGGAGATATGGATAGTAAGATGGTGGTGAGGCAAGAGGTTGCTGGTTGGAGGGATAGGGAAGAAGGAAGGAGTTAATATCACAGTTTGGAACAAATTTAATTACCTTCCTGGTTCTGATCCACTAAGCCTCTACATTCTGTTTGTTCTATCTATTCCCTCTGAAAGACTCACTTTTTCCATGGTATCCTCAAGAAGTCAGTTAATAATTACTACCTATTATTACTGGGGGGCATGACTTGAACAAAGATGTGCATGTGCCTTCACGGAGTAGCTGGGAGATTTTTATCACTATAACATTTCCTCACTCATCCCTCCTTACTGTTTGTTTCCCTACTCTTCTCACCCTCTTCAACACTAGACTGTAAGCTCATCAAGTCAAAGTCTGTGTCTATTTCTTGCTTCTGTAAAGTATTTGTAGAGACATGGGTTTCTGAAGCAGTGTCCATTGGGCCTGGAGAATATAAGCAGAAGCTGCTCCTTTCAGCACATCCAGTTCTTTGCAGTATTTTTTGAATTTCACTTGCTTTGATGTCAGTACTGATCCTCATATCATGTAATTTTTTAGAGCCTGATTTACAAAGGTACTTAGGTACCTAAAGATGCAGATAGGCAGCTAGTAGAATTTCCAAAAGTGCCTAAGGGAGTTGGGTGCCTAACCTGCTTATGTGCTTTTGTAGATCCCACTGGGGTATAGCTTAAATTTAGGCACCTAAATATCTTTGTAAATCTGGCCCTTAATATTTAAGAGTTGAATTTACAAATTCTTCAGTGACTGAGCAGCTCTCTATTGGAACTGTGCCAGGAATGAACTGCTCTCTTGACTCTGAATAAGCTTAACCCAGGACCCAGAATTTATTTCCTGTTTCATGCCAAACCCTCAGATGGCTTCTCTGCTTTGGTCTAGATACACATTTAGGCCTGGTCTAGACTAGGAAAAAGGTGCTTTTTTCAATCAAGCGTTAGCAGATCAACTTATAGCCTAAGGTTCTGCCTTAGCTATAATTGACATATTTGAATGAAGCTAAAGGTGTTAAACTGTACCTACATTTGTGTTAAATGACATTTCCAATTGAGTTAAACTAGCTTGACTAAGATAAATAGACTGAATAAAATACCTTTGTCCTCGTATAGACAGGCCTCAGAGATTAGCATTTGTGGTCCTGTTTTAACTCAAATTGTTGACCACTGCCAGTTGGAAGTGTGGCAGGAACAGGGGCGGCTCCAGGCACCAGCGCAGCAAGCACGTGCCTGGGGTGGCCTGCCGGTCGTGGTGAGGGCGGCAGTCAGGCTGCCTTTGGCGGCATGCCTGCGGGAGGTCCGACCGGTCCCGCGGATTCAGCGGCAATTCGGCAGCGGGTACGCGGAAGCCGCGGGACCGGCGGACCTCCCACAGGCATGCCGCCGAAGGCAGCCTGACTGCTGTGCTTGGGGCGGCAAAACACATAGAGCTGCCCCTGGGCAGGAAGTTCTGGTTCAGCCACTTTCTTTCAATCAAGAAGAGATCCAGATCACAGTCCATTGGCTCGAGTTTGGGAAGGCACCAGCGGTTTGTAACATCATCCTTGAGTTGCTAAAGACAAATGAGAGTATTGTTGTGATGGGGCTGCATAGATTCTTCCAGCCAGTCTGGTGCACTAATATCATCCCCCAATAACTAGAAGAGTATTATTTTGCCTCTGTTCAAAACGGGTGATAAATGTAGCAATTATAGAGGCAAAGGGAATTCTTTGCTTCTGTGTTAATGTTTGGAATCAGCTATCTACTTTGTGGCAAAGGCCGGGACACTTACTGTGGCTTTCGACATAGTCATCCCACTCTTGATCAGATCTTCACCTTGTGATAATGTTTTGAGAAGATGGTTGAATTTAATAAGCTCTGTGCAGTACTTTTTATAGACTTCCATCAGGCCTTTGATTCAGTGCATCGAGCAAGTGTGTGGCATCTGATAAGGAAACTTAGTGCCCTTGGGTTGATAGTCATTGATAGAAGAGCTCTGTAATGGAACAGAAAACTATTTTAATTAACGGTAGATATGTGACATGGTTTCCTGTTTCCAGGGGAGTTTGGCCAGGCTGCATCTGAATGTCCAGCCAAACCATCTTGAAGACCTAATAAAATATTGACACAGGTGGTGCTCTCTCTCCAGGAAGGTTATGTCCCTTGGGATTTGCCTGGATTGTGATTTAACTCCAGTTAATTGATTGCCAGTTAACTGAAATTCACTAATACATTTATAAATGGTAGTCCAAATGCGCCGCAAACATTTGTATACTAGCCTAAGCCACAAATGTTTGTGTCTTAGAGCAAATGTATGTAGATTATCAAGATTCACTTTTGTAGATGTGTTAATTTACTCAGCAATCAATTAACTCTCATTAAAACAGGGCCACAAATTTTAGTCTAGACATAGCCTAAGGGCCTGTTTTTCTATTTCCCTGCACATTAAGGAGTCAATTGTATCATTGCCACGTGGATGTAGAATGCTGCCAACTCAAAGTGCTACTGATTTACACTCATTTTGCCCTAATATAATGACTGCATAAGATACAGAACAGCAGAGAATCAGGCCCTAACTGTACATTCTGAGGTTGCCAACATTCATGATTAAACAAGGTAAAATTTAAGGATAACTATATTAAGCACATACAATACATTACCTAACATTAGAAATTGGATTTTATTCTGGACTTTTTTGCCACTGTAGTTGATGCATTCTACAGAACATAAGTTAAAGCACCCTTCCATTCTACAGAGATTCCCCACAACAATAGACTTCCCATGAAATCCTCCCCTAAAGCATAAAATATCCCTAAATATAATTAAGATATTTTTGTGTCAGAGGGATGTTGCTGTTTTGCACCTAATTCAGAATGGCAAGGAGTATACATATGATACTTATTAGTAGAGCTACTCAGGAATTTGTCAAGAAATGCCAGTTCATCAAAACCAAAACTGTTTGTGAAACAGGCTTGGGTTCAACAAATTTCCCAATTTGAAAAAATGCGGAGAAAAAAAGTTTCTGAATTGTTGAGACATTTTGTTTCAACATTTTCTCAATTTCAGTTTTCTGGTTCAAGACTTTTCATATCACAATGTAAGGTAATGAGACTGACAAGGGTTTCAAAAAGGGTAAAAATCAAAAACATGTTTAAATTATTGAAATCAACTATTCGACTGACCCAAAATTAAAAAAAATGTTTTTCTGTCTGTATATTTTTGAGATTTCAATTTTTCATCCTGATTTGAGCTGGGAACATTTTTTGAACTTTTGAAAATATTCATGGGACAGGAAAACTGTTTCCCACCCGCTCTACTTATCAGCAAGAGCGATTACAGAATGCAACCTAAATAAAAAGGGCATTTCACAATGCTATATTATTGTAGCCTGCATACAGAGAAATTGCACAATGCATGTAGGTGTTATACTCTGCAGTGTTTTGAAATAATGTAGCCCATAGCAAGAATTACAATATTGTGCTGACTATGCCAATTGCCAAATTATTTGGCATGGCAGGCAGGGAAAGCCTGTCTCTAATTTATGTAACAGATTTGTAATGTAATTCTTGGTAATCCTAGCTGCACCTATGTTTCAATAAGTTTGGAAATATACAAGCAGTTTTGCATGCCTGGAAATTCTTCATTCTACTGCTCCACCCCAGACAAACCAGAAAAGCAATACAGGAATCACAGTTGTAGCTGATGTTGGCAACTGGCCCACAGTTCTGTTCTTTTACAGAGTAGCAAACCCTGGTGAATTTCAGATCTCTGCATAAGTGATGCCATTGTCTTCAAGTTCTGAGCAGGCACTGAAAGAGATAATAACCTACCCTTATTATAGGAAACCTCAGGTAATCGCCTGGAGTGGTCACAAGCCATTCTCAAGCATTCAGCTCCTCCCTGATGCCAAGTGAACAAACAGGGCCAAGAGAAAAAGCTCCCAACTTCGGTGGCAGGGAATATACTGAAGAAGTTGGCCTCTGAATTACATTCTAAGTCCTTGTTCCCAGATACTACGTCTGTAGCAGTTAGAAGATCCGGTCTTTGAGGTTGCTGAGCCAGGTAATTCAGACATCAGCTTGACCTTGTCCCTTGAACTCCTGATCACTCCTTCAGTGATTCAAGCACTAATGACAGACACAGAGGTTAGTGAGCACCAAACAAGCAAACACAGTGGAGAGGAATCCTTTAACATTAAACATTTATATATTAAGTAGAGATGTGCAAATAACTGATTTTTTTTAATTTGGTGGCTGGACTAAAAAATAATTGTTTCTGGTCAAACTCAATGTTTAGTTTAATCTTAAATGAAATGTTTTGATTCCTTTTCAGGTTTAAAAAATTAAATTGCAGTAAAATTCCAAACAAAAAGGTGTTTGGAATTGAAAAATGGAAATATTTCATTCTGAAAATGTCAAAACAAAACGTTTCAATTTTTTTTCTTTGACTGAAACAATTCAGTGAATTCAGCCGGAATTCACAAAATGTTTCAGTTGACCTGAATCTGCATTTTTTCAGTGAAAAAAAGTTTTGGATGAAGAATTTTGCCCAGCTCTAATTTTCAGTCAATACAAGTTGACAAGTTAAAGCATTTCTGTAATTCAGTTTGGAGCCACTTTGATTCTGCCAGGAGAAAAGGTTAAGGATCTTTTTCACATCAAAGCATACACTTTCCCCCCAGTGCCTTGTGAAGCTGCTAAATACCCCAATGTCCCTTGATACCTAGCTGCCCCACTCATTTCTCTATACCATATAGAGTTCGGGCAGGTCTACACTTAAAATGCTACAGCAGCGTAGCTGCACTGCTGTAGCACTTTAGTGAAGACATTACTTATGCCGATGGCAGAGCTTCTACCGTTGGCGTAGTTAATCCACCTCCACAAGATGCAGTAGCTATGTTGATAGGAGAAGCTCTCCTGATGACATAGTGCTGTCTACCCTGGAGGTTAGGTCGGTGTCACTGCATTGTTCAGAGGTGTGGATTTTTCACACCCCTGAGTGATGTAGTTATACCGATGTAAGTTTATAGAGTAGACCTACCCTTCCTGATTCCCCACTGTCCCCTGCCTCCCTAGAGTTGAGCGGGACAGCCATGTAGGTCAGGGATCTTGAGGACACTCAGAACAGTTTTAAGCAGTTCAACTCAAGAGGCCAGCAGTTTCTTGTTCTTGGCCAATGCTATTAGGATGACAGCCTAGCCAAAGACTATCATTCACATCTAGCTGTTTTGACCTCTCATGAAGATACAGAAGACCAGTGTCTTTGATAGCTCCTTGACTTCAAGTTCATGTGGGGTTTGGGCACTACCATGCTGTCTGCTAATTGGTTATCACTGTCTATACTTAGAGGTACTTGGGTTTCAGTGGTGCTCTAAGTGCATAGTTTACACAGGACTTTTTTGGATTCCTTTGAGAGGAAAGGTGCAGTATAAATGGAAAAAAAGTGTTCTTATCATTTATTACTATTTCCTAAAAACCCCATCACTGGGAAGAATAGGGCACTGTGGTTTCAGCATCTCCTGTTCTCCAACCACTGCATCTGCAAGGGAAATCTTCTCCCTTTGCAGTCACCCAAAAGATTCACCTTCCTAGGGTGAGGAAATGGGGGAAGATTCTTTTTGTTTGAGAAGTCAGCGAGGGGTGGGGCTCTGAGTCAGTTTATAAAACAGCTGCTCAGCTGCTTCTGCTGGTTTAAAAACTATAAATATGTTTCAAGAGTCACTGCCAGGTGTTGGATGTGGTATTGAAGTGCCATTGGTCGCATCGGACTTGCATGTAACGGATACCACAATGGAATCATGTGCCAGTTTACCTCAGGTAAGAAAGCCCCCATGACAAAATAAGATTGCTTGAAATTCCAGTCCACTGAGGTGTGTACAGCGCAAAGCAGGTGCTGTTCGTCTTGCTTGGTCATTAATTATTATTATATTAATTGTTGTGTGTGGCTCTTTCCAGACAGGGGAGAAGGTCCTTGCCTCAGGGAACTTACAGTCTCAATGAGAAATGACAACAGGCTGGGAGGAGAGGGGAAACCTCTTTGGAGAGAGAGAGATTCACTTACAAAGATATCAGATCACCTGGGGCTTTTTGTGTGTTTCATGTTTTTCTTGTTTTAAAATGTTATTTTAAAATGTGATATAATTAGCCCCTAGGGAGGGAGCAGGCAGCTGAGATTCAGGTGGAAAGCAAGGCGGGTGAGTCTACAGGGGGCAGGTTTACTATTCCTTTTATAGCCACAGCTGAGAGGATCCTTCATCCTCTGCTGTTTCGTACAAAGGGTGGCACCTATGTGGTTTTTGTGCCTACATTCATACCAATTAAAGTAACTAGGGTGTACAAAATGACGTAGTACTTGGTGCACAGGCAAGCATTGCCACATTCTGGGGCTCTGTGATCCACAGCTCTGAATTTGGGCTTTTCAGCCTTTGTTATAGCAGTTACACATTTATAATGGTGAATGATACTGGATGCTGAGAAGTTTATTTTCAGTGTTACCATTTCCCTCTCTTGCTTCAGGACCTGAACACTAAGACTAATCCATTGGGAATGGGAGAGGCCAAGGAGAGGAATCTGTGGACAGTGCAGGGGACTGTTGACAATAAGGTACTATACAAGAGAATTTCAAAATCAAACCATGTTAGGGTTGTTTCTGCCGGCGGAGGGAAGGGGAGGACAAATTTATTCACTGTAATTTGAATAGCTCCTTAATGGCTAAGCAATGCCAGCTTCATGGGTGAAACATGCTGATGTTTAACATTTGAATCATTCTTTGTTCATATTAAAGTTCTGTAGCTTTGGTGCATGGAAAACTTTAGTATCTCTGTTACTTGAAAAGGGATTGGTTTAAACGGAGTTTCTAGTGTAAAATATGTATTACTACAGACGAGGACAAATTTACTGCTGGTGTGAGGGGTAACTGACATCAATGAAGTGGGGCTATTTGCTCCTTCAATGAATCTGGCACAGTGTCTCATTGGTTTCTCAAATGGTGCAAACCCCAGTTTTATGGGTCAACATTTCTTCTGGCCTCTGCTGGTGGGAAAGTCATCACAACACAGAACTTCAGGGGGAATTAAAACACATTATATTAAATCCTCCAACGGGAAGTCAGGGTACCAGCTTTACTCAAGAAGACATCTTTTCACATTGGCAAACTCTCCAGTTTTCATCTTGTCTCTAACCTTTCCTTTTGTTTGCTCCCTGTCCATCCACTGTAGAATACATTTCTATTATGAAGCCTCTGAATGTGGCATGGCAGAATAGATTAAAAACTATATATGTAAACGACAGACTTTGTGTTTGTTAGCAATAAAGGGAATATGCTAACATTGAATAATATTTCTCAGATCGTGAAGGATTTGAATGGTTTTCTCTTGAATCTCCATGGGCAAATTAGCAGAATTAAGAGAATCTATCTCTAATATAATGGCATTTATTAAACTATTTAGGAAACACCACTTATTTTTGTCAGGTGGGATCACAAAATATTGAGTTACAAACATCATACTGATTGTTTAAGAAATTTCCCCCTCCTGTGCATTAATTGGATGTAATACATTAATATAAAAATAATGCTGCACTTCCCTAGAGTCTTTCATCCACGGATCAAAAATTGCTTTACAAACTTTGAATCAAATCCTTCAAGCGTTCTTTAGTCAAAACTGCCATTGATTTAAATGGTAGATTTGCATTAGTAAAGACTGTTTGATTTTGTCCATTAATTATTTAAGCCTTCACAATATCTTCTGAGATCTCTTGAGTATATTACTTGCACTATGTACAGTATGTTAAGTAGGAACGTTTTGAGTAATGATTTACTGCCAAATAATTTTGTGTCCTATTTTGATTTTTTCCTTTCTGGAACCTTTGAAATGGAGGGTTAGTAGTAAGGAAAGTGTGAACTGAATGAAAAAAATAAATAAAATGCGGGAAATGAAGAAGGCCCCAAGAAAGGATCAGGGGAGGATTATGAGAGTTTGGGGGAGAAATGTTAAATCTCACCCTAGGAGATGCAGTCTGCTTAATAGTAATTAAACAGCTTGGTAAAGTTGATGAGGGATTTTTATGTGAAACAGGGGGTTAAACATGGTAGTTTCACCTGAGTTTCACTTCAGATTTCTGGTGCAAACTCCAAGGGTCCAAACCCAGGTGATTCAAAATTAAAGGAAAGATTCTCACAAATCTCTGTACACTGAAATCACAGAGCTTAGCTCAGTGCTCTCATGCAGTTACAAGAAATCACTTCAAAGGAATCAATATTCCATGGGGAGTAGCATGAGGGAGGTATCAAAGTAGAGAGAACCAAAATTGAGATTAGAAGCAACTTGGGGATCCTGTAGTAAATATTGGCCGTAACAGGCTTGAACGCACTAAGAAGAGCTCTGCTGAGAATAGCGGCTACTTCCCTGACTCCCAAACCACATGTGCTGCACCAGTGGCAGCTGGATCTCAAAGAACTAAAATTGTACCATTTGTAAAAACCTCTGCAATTTTTCCTTTTCTCACCTAAAAACTACATGAAAAATCCAGCTCCCAGCTAGGCCCTGAATTATACAATCTAACAAAACTGGACTTTAGTTAGAAACCAAACCAAGCTCCCCTAATTGTATGAATCTGTGTCTCATATTATTTTAATCACAGAACCTGGCTTAGATGATTAATAGTAAAATAGATTTGTTGATCATTTTATTATCATACAGAAGTTGCCTGAGCAGGTTGCTTATATGTTAGGTACACCTCTACCCCGATATAACGCTGTCCTCGGGAGCCAAAAAATCTTACCACATTATAGGTGAAACCGCGTTATATCGAACTTGCTTTGATCCGCCGGACTGTGCAGCCCTGCCCCCCCGGAGCGCTGCTTTACCGCATTATATCCGAATTCGTGTTATATTGGGTCACGTTATATCAGAGTAGAGGTGTATTTCTCCCTCCCTCCTGACCATTTCGATCTGCTAGATATACCCCACATTTTAACGTTCACCCTTGCCTTTTGTATGTTTATTCTGCAGACTGAATCATCTCCTTGTTACTTGCTCACTGTAAGAGTCATAAGGGCGAGGAATCTCCATCGGACAGATGCCTGTGAGTAAATTTACTGATCTAGAGGTTCCACGTAGTTCTGCACTGGGAATGGTGCTGAGCTGTTCTGCTCCAGGGGGACCTGAACTCCTCCAGGGAAGAAGAAGGCTTCCTAGACTTCCCCAGTGCCCAGAGGGAGTCCACCCACTGCTACACCCTTTTAAGAGATGCAGCATATTTACTTTGTGTGCTGATCCAGGGTGAAGTGCCAGAGTGGAGAGGAGTGGACAGGGCAATTGCTTGCACCTATTCCACACTTCTCCTCATGCTCAGAGGGAAATTGAGAAAGCAGTTATTGTCCTCCACTGAAAGCAAGGACTGCAACTGTGTCTGACCTTATGTAGGTTGTGCAAGGGTGGGGGAGGTTTCTTGTGCTCTCCCCCATACTGTGCCCATACGTTAGGGCCAGGCATAAATTGGTGTAATATAGCTATGTTCTTTCTCACAGGCTATATAAAATATTCATGCTTTTAAAAAAAATAATAAAAAGCTTAATAAGAAAATAACTGCTTCATTGTATAGAATGGAAGATCTTTAAAAAATGTGTTTATTGTGGCTCTTGTTGCAGTTCTACAAAGAAGAATCAATTTCCTCCTCTTCTCTGTCCCTATTATCTGGACTGGACTGGATATGTTGGACAGACATGAAAACTTTCATTTTGTTCAGTGTGTTCATTCCCCTAGTGCCAATTAGCACTGCATAAATTGCTGTGTTGTCATTTAGCAAGGTTGTTTTTGTTTTTAATATGCAGTAAGCCAATCTGATTGCTATGTGACCCTCTGGCTGCCGACAGCTTCAGCCGAAAAGTTCTGGACTAAAACCATCAACAACTGCAAAGACCCAGTCTGGAATGAAACCTTCTACTACAGGATCCAGAGTCAGATCAAAGTAAGGCCCTGAGAACTTCCTCCAATCTGTGCTCTAGAGAGTTCCTGCCAGGTATCTCTCCTGCAGAAAGGATGCAGGTAATGTTCCTGGCTGGCAGGAAGAGATGCAGAAAGATGTGAAATGACACATCTCAACTCAAAAGTTTGCCATCTTGCACCAGGCTGTGGAAGCCAAATGTATCAGTCAGCCACATGCCTAGCTTTGGGCTGGGGAAAACCCACATTACTTAGAGGTAGAAGATGTTTTTTCAAAGGTACATCTTTGCATCATTTCCGCATTCCTCCTCTCTCCCACCATACACTCTCTTTCTCTCTCACCCTCTCTTTGTGCAAGATTTTCCCCAGGATTCCCTGCTTCCTGGGCTCGGTGAAAGCCAGAATGCAGAATTTCTAAAATCACTCACCTCCCTTCCCAGAATGTGCTGGAGCTGGGTGTCTACGATGAGGATGATGTTACCCAGGACGATCACCTCTTCACTGTGCGCTTTGATGTGGCTAAACTTCCACTTGGAGAAAGAGTTCTCATGTACTTTAAGTCTGACCCACAGGTGATGTATGAAATAACAGGGAGGGCTGGGTGAAAGGGACACACACTCCTGGGTTTTCTGCCTCCGCTACTATTTGTAATGTATTACTGTTTTCCTTCCTGCGTATTGGATTGCCCACCATAGTAGTCTGTCATTCTAACCCTCTGGAAAGGCCTCTTTGCTGTTGCTTCCTCCATTATACTCAAGGGTTTTGCCTCTGTGCTCTTGGGCAATGGAGGCTGATGAAAGTGGGATGCTCTTTGCAAAGCAGTCTCTTTGATGAGTTTGCTACCAAAGATGACCCTAGTGGAGATTATTCTCCCCTCCAACGGGTATCACTCGAAGTTTTCTGTCACAACTTGTTGGCACCAACCCAGCAATTATGAGGTAGTAGCTCTGAGATATGGAACTGATACTAGATTGTATCTAATACTAGTTCATGCATAGATTATAATTATACACCGTGACACTAATTTTGGCACATGGCTACCTAAATAAGATGTCTAAATTGCACAGCTGATCACTTAAATTGACAACTAGCTGTATAAATTCCTATTTAGAATGCAAATTTGAAAGTCACGTCTGGAAAGTTGTATCTTTTTATTAATAGGTTTCCTAAGTGATCAATTGCAATGTAATATACAGCTGGTGTGAAGGGGCAATTACCAGGAAAGCTTAGTATCAAGAGATATATCAGGTGTTTTATGTCCAAGCCACCTCACTGGCATTGGTACTATCAGTGCTAAGATAAAGAGTATTGGCTAGGTAGGAGAGATGAGAATATCCTTTGTGTGTTCATGTGGAGAATCTCTGTGTACTTTTCACAATGCCCAGAGAGGTCAAAGCAACAGGAGCACAGGACTATAGTATTTATATAAAGTATTGCCACACAGACACGAACAGTGAGAGCAGCTCCTGTGTTGCAAAATAATGTCAGGTATAGTGGGGGGGGGAGGGGGGTTAAGACTTGAAAAGATGAAGTAAGCTGCATCTGCTACAAAAAATTGAAGGTGACTTTGCAACAGCACTTTTTTTTACTGGGGTCAGGTTTATACATGCATCAGGGCTTTTCTGAACTGGAAGCATTATCATGTTGTTCAGGGGTTCTTAACGTTTTTCATATCATGGACCAAATCTGTTGGAGAGATTGTCACATTTGCCTCCCAACATCTCAGTCTTGATCCCATTTGTGATCCCAAAACATGCCCGAGAGAGTTACAACAATTGCTTATATGTAAAAGTAATAGTTGGAAAGAATGTAGGTATGTTTTTAGCTGTCTTTAATGTGATAAGTGTATTGTCCTTTTTAAAAGACTATACTAATCACACAGAATCCTTTCACTCTTCAATTATTCATCTCCTCTCTTCCCATCTGACCCTCCCACTCCTTTGGACATGGTTTCCTGCCAGCTGAGCCCCTTCTTCTCCAGACCCCATCCATGCTGCCCCAATTCCAGATTTCCTTCTACTCTGCTGCTCTGGGCAGATTGCCAAGTGACCTTATCCTCCTCTTCCACTGTTCCCCTGCATGTTTCTCAGGGTATGTCTATACTTCAAGCTGGGGGTGTCATTCCCAGCTCTGTTCGAGCTAGTGCACTAAAAAGAGAGTGTACCTACGGAAGCGCGAGCAGTGGGAAATATCTCATTTGCAATGAGTGTAGCTGAATGCAGGTTAAGTTGAACAAGCAGAACTCTATTAAACACTCTGGACTGCTCTGTCCATGTGGCTGTTGCTTTCAGCCTAACTCCTAGCACTACCTCCTTTCCTGTTGTCCCCTCAAGAACAGTCCCTTAAGGGAACATGGCCGTCTGACTCCACTCCATTGATCCTCATACATGAGAGGCTAACTGCTCTGAATATGTACGTACTGTCTTGGCCAGGCCGCAGCTACACTCTATTTTTAGCATGCTAGCTCAATCAGAGCTAGTGAGAGTACGTCTCCTCAAGCTGGGACTCACATCCCCCTTCCCCCTGTTTGAAGTGTAGACACACCCTCAATCTCCTCTCCCACTAGCAGTCTGTCTACACTGCAGCTGGGAGGTGTGATTCCCAATGCGGGAAGACAGGCTCATGCTAGCTCAGCTGAAGCTAGTGTGCTAAATATAGCCATGTGGAAGTTGCAGCACTGGCAGCAGCTTGAGCTAGCCACCCAAGCTCAGACCTAGGGGGTCAGGGACGCTTGGACTCAGGCGGGTAGCCCAGGCTGCGACATCCACACTGCTATGTTTAGCATGCTAGCTCAGCTCAAGCTAGTGTGAGTCTGTCTACCCACACTGGAAATCACACCTCCCAGCTGCAGTGCAGACATATGCTAGAAGGCTTCCTTCTATTGACAGCCTCTAGCTCCTCTCCCACTGATGGGTTGCAACCCCAGTCCCACTGGTGGCAGTGATCCCAGACAGCATCTCATTCCCCCCGCCCCTGTTATGTGACAGCAGCTCCCAGTAGAGGAAGGCACCTCTTCTTTGTTAACAGCTGCTTTTACAGACATCCAGGCTCTTCTTAGCAATGAAGAGCAGTAGTGCTTGTGTAAAAGCAGCTAGAAGCGAAGAGGAGAAGCCAGCACCAAGTGAACTGACAGGTATCCATGGACCACCACTAAGTGCTCCACAGATGACTAGTAGTGCATGGGACACAGTTTGAGAACCTTTGGTATAATAATCATGTTAACTTTTTTTCTTCAGAGAAAGGAGGAGTTGGAGGTGGAATTCAGACTGGAGACTATGTAAGTAAAAGCCAAATGATATAGAATCTGTAAGGGACAAAAACAACAATTCAGAGACTAATGAATGAATCCATTTCATTGGCCCAGAATGCATCATTCTTTGACACTACTACTAATAAGCATAGTTTACAATGAGATTTATGGTATCTGTAATATCAAAGAATTGTGCATTCTGGGAGAATCATCAGTGAATCATGGACAGGCAGGAGAATTTCACAGAGGGGGGAAATTATTAAAAAGCTAGTTACGTTTTTCCTGTGCTGAATACCCATTAAGGTGTGATTAGTGGGACAGTCTTCACTTGCATCTGGTATTAACTCAAATTTCATTTTAGCTTCATAGTTTGTCTTTGAGATAAATGGGGCAATACTGTCCTCTTAAAGGTATAATGGGGTCTTCGATAAATGCATCAGTGTTTTGTCTGGAATCCTTCTTTTACATTTGGAATCTTGATCGAATAAAGCCAACTGTAATCTCATCTTAGTGAATGTCAGAAAACAATCACATGGTGTGGCCCAGTAGGAAATCTTTGTTAGCAGAACTTGACGACTAGAATGGCATGAGCTATAGTGGTTGTGCCATGGCAAAGCGGTATAGGGAGACTTGCACCATGAGGCTTCTAGAATTATTCCTTCGTTCAGACACAACGCTTCCAAAAATTAGCACAAAACTAAGATAAGCCAGATAGCAGTCGGGAGAAAAGTGTCTCATTAAATTATACTGCACCCGTTACTAAATATGCACTTTTCATTTTGCTTCCTAGTTCGGATCCCTCTGAAACCATCGTGACTAATGGAGTTCTAGTGGTAACCTTTATGTTCTGTTATCTTTCCTTTCCTGTAGCAGTACTCATAATGCAGGTGAGAGGAGGTTTGCCAATTCTGATTGGATGTATTCCTGGAGGTTTCATCACATGACATAATCTTTAATTAAAGATTAAACTTTAATTGCTGGAGGCTCCAACCCCCGGTGGGACTAGAGAAACTGTGAGCTGCTTTGCAGTCAGCAGGCCAAGGCACACGCCTGCAGAGAGAGGCTGAGACTGAAAATAGATGTGATTTCCCACTTAGTCGTCTGCCTCACACCATAAAAACATAAGAACATAACATAAGAATGTAAGAACAGCCATACCGGGTCAGACCAAAGGTCCATCTAGCCCAGTATCCTGTCTACCGACAGTGGTCAATGCCAGGTGCCCCAGTGGGAGTGGACCTAACAGGCAATGATCAAGTGATCTCTCTCCTGCCATCCATCTCCATCCTCTGACAAACAGAGGCTAGGGACACCATTCCTTACCCATCCTGGCTAATAGCCATTAATGGACTTAACCACCATGAATTTATCCAGTTCTCTTTTAAATGCTGTCATAGTCCTAGCCTTCTCAACCTCTTCAGGTAAGGAGTTCCACAAGTTGACTGTGCGCTGTGTGAAGAAGAACTTCCTTGTATTTGTTTTAAACCTGCTGCCTATTAATTTCATTTGGTGACCCCTAGTTCTTGTATTATGGGAATAAGTAAATAACTTTTCCTTATCCACTTTCTCCACATCACTCATGATTTTATATACCTCTATCATATCCCCCCTTAGTCTCCTCTTTTCCAAGCTGAAGAGTCCTAGCCTCTTTAATCTCTCCTCATATGGGACCCGTTCCAAATCCCTAATCATTTTAGTTGCCCTTTTCTGAACCTTTTCTAGTGCCAGTATAACTTTTTTGAGATGAGGAAACCACATCTGTACGCAGTATTCGAGATGTGGGCGTACCATCGATTTATATAAGGGCAATAATATATTCTCAGTCCTATTCTCTATCCCCTTTTTAATGATCCCTAACATCCTGTTTGCTTTTTTGACTGCCTCTGCACACTGCGCGGACATCTTCAGAGAACTATCCACGATGACTCCAAGATCTTTTTCCTGACTCGTTGTAGCTAAATTAGCCCCCATCATATTGTATGTATAGTTGGGGTTATTTTTTCCAATGCGCATTACTTTACATTTATCCACATTAAATTTCATTTGCCATTTTGTTGCCCAATCACTTAGTTTTGTGAGATCTTTTTGAAGTTCTTCACACTCTGCTTTGGTCTTAACGATCTTGAGCAGTTTAGTATCATCTGCAAACTTTGCCACCTCACTGTTTACCCCTTTCTCCAGATCATTTATAAATAAGTTGAATAGGATTGGTCCGAGGACTGACCCTTGGGGAACACCACTAGTTACCCCTCTCCATTCTGAGAATTTACCATTAATTCCTACCCTTTGTTCCCGGTCTTTTAACCAGTTCTCAATCCATGAAAGGACCTTCCCTTTTATCCCATGACAGCTTAATTTACGTAAGAGCCTTTGGTGAGGGACCTTGTCAAAGGCTTTCTGGAAATCTAAGTACACTGTGTCCACTGGATCCCCCTTGTCCACATGTTTGTTGACCCCTTCAAAGAACTCTAATAGATTAGTAAGACTCGATTTCCCTTTACAGAAACGATGTTGACTATTGCTCAACAGTTTATGTTTTTCTATGTGTCTGACAATTTTATTCTTAACTATTGTTTCGACTGATTTGCCCGGTACCGACATTAGACTTACAGGTCTGTAATTGCCGGGATCACCTCTAGAGCCCTTTTTAAATATTAGCGTTACATTAGCTAACTTCCAGTCACTGGGTACAGAAGCCGATTTAAAGGACAAGTTACAAACCTTAGTTAATAGTTCCGCAACTTCACATTTGAGTTCTTTCAGAACTCTTGGGTGAATGCCATCTGGTCCCGGTGACTTGTTAATGTTAAGTTTATCAATTAATTCCAAAACCTCCTCTAGTGACACTTCAATCTGTGACAGTTCCTCAGATTTGTCACCTACAAAAGCTGGCTCAGGTTTGGGAATCTCCCTAACATCCTCAGCCGTGAAGACTGAAGCAAAGAATCCATTTAGTTTCTCCGCAATGACTTCATCGTCTTTAAGCGCTCCTTTTGTATCTCGATCATCAAGGGTCCCCACTGGTTGTTTAGCAGGCTTCCTGCTTCTGATGTACTTAAAAAACATTTTGTTATTACCTTCGGAGTTTTTGGCTCCATCTCCTCCCATGTGTTATGGTTGGAGAGCTATGACTGGAGCAGCTGTGAGATTCGCCAAGCTAGCACTCCTACAATATTGCAGAGTGACGACTCCTGGCAAAAATTGGGCATGGTATAGTGGTGAGCTGCCTCACAGCCAGCGTTCTCACCCTATTTCCTGCAGTGGGAGGCACTGATATCTGTAAAGCTATGAGATTCCCCCACAGACATTTTTATTCAGTCCCATCCTCAGAAACTGTATGAAATGGAGGAACAATTTGCTTCCCCATAGTCTCTGTTCCTATACCAGTCCTCAAAATTACTGGCACTTAAACATTCATAACAATAACACTTCCCACAAGGGCTTTGCTTGCCAGTGATACTGGTTCTCTTAGTAGCTTTCTCTCATTATTTGTTTTTTTCACCTGAATTAGTCCTTTGTGCCCCTCTCTGTACCCTGAGAATGCTGTTAGTTTGGCCTGTCTCACACTCTTCAGAGAAGCTGTCTTGTAAGTCACAACCACCCATCCCTTCTTACAGCTGATGACTACATGTGACTCCCTACAGTCATTCAGTTTCATTCATCGTTGAATAGCAAGGTCATTGTAGAACATTTGGTTTTCCTAGGGGCTGAGCATGCTGCCAACATAGCACTCAATCTGTGCATCAATAGTAATACACTAGGATGGGAAATAGAACTTCAAACCATGATATTTTCCATCATGAGCTATTTTATTGTTCTTCTCTGTTACAGTCTCGCAAAGTCTGCTGTTTGGAAGTTCAGGTGGATGAGAAGAAGAGGGAAAAGAAGAGGAAGCCTTCATCACGTGAGATTGTTACTTCATTAACTGGCTATAAGTAACCAGATATTGATTCTACTATGGCGATTGGCCATTCTATGAATCATTAAAATAAATAAATGGAATAAAATATTTCCACATGATTCAACTTTCGTAACATCAACTTTAAAATGAGTAATCTATGTTATCGGTTACATGGACTGCATCACATACATCTGTATAGTGAACTCCTTTAAAGTAACACTAAAGCTGAGATTTTAATCACATAAGGGTTAGAGTTATGATTCTGACAGCAACCTTAATTTTGTTCCCTTATGTGAGCTGATGTCCATTACAAAAGGCTTTTCACTAAATGATTACATAGCTTAAGGGAAATAATTCAGAATACAACATAGAGAAAAAAGTTCAATTTCTTTACATTACATTGTGTTGTACTATTTTCCAAGTATTGAATCATATTGTCCAGTGTGGTATTAATGTAATGAGAGAGAAATCTATCGAGGGCAAATATTCAAGTGTGTAGAATTAATATTGATTTTATAACTAGAATTGTCTGACCTATCTGTGATTAAAATCTCAAGCATGGTGTTGCGGTCATGTTGTTTTTACATATTCTTTCCTTTGTTTATTTATTTTAAAACATTACAAAATCAGTGAAAACGTCCTGTATGTTACCTCAGAATGTCTCCTTTAGAGGCCTTTTTACAGATTTAGTCTAAAATTTATTGTTCATTTTTATATTGTATTAGCACCAGGGTGCCCTATTGTGCTAGGCATTGTACAAACATACCTGTCTAAACTAGGGAAAAGGCTTGTTTAAAAACACTTGTTAGTTAAGATATTTCAATTAACATATTTTTAAAGCCCATTAAGCACTTAGGCCCAGATGCTCAAAGGTATTTAGGCCCCTAACTCCCTTTGAAATCAAGCACCTAAATACCTTTGGCCCTGGGCTGATCATGACCATTTTAAAGGTGTGAAATCCTGTCTATACTCAGTGTTAAGTAGTGTTTTAAAATGTGTTATTTTAGCTGGGCCCGCTGCTCTGGCGCCCCACGGCCAGCCACACTAGCCGCTCCTAGAGTGACCCGGCGCCAGCTGCTCCAGCGGTCCCTGGGGACAGCCGCAATGGCCACTTCTAGGGAGGCCCTGGGCAGCTGGCTCCAGGGACCGCCCAAGCAGCGGCTGGTGCAGCTGGTCCCACGGACTGCCTGAGCAGCGGTCCTGGGGAGCATCTGAATAGCGGTCCCAGGGGCTGCCCCAGGGCCAGCCACACCAGCTGCTGCTGGAGCAAACCAGGGCAGCTGGCTCTGGGGACCACCGGAACAGCGGCCAGTGTGGCTGACTTTGGGAAGCACCTGAGCAGCAGTCTTGGGGGTGCCCTGGGAACCCCTGAGCAGCAGCATTCCCGGGGTGGCTGAAGCAACCCCAGGGGCACCCAGAGGCCATCTGAAGAGTGGTCCTTGGGAGCACTGGCTGGGGGACAGTCAACCCCCAGCATTGGAGCAGGTCCTCCCAGCAGGGGACCTCGGAGCAGTGGGGCCCCAGAAGTAGAGATTTAGTCAGGGGTATTTTTGGTAAAAGTCATGGACAGGTCACGGGCCGTTAATTTTTATTTATTGCCCTGACCTGTCCATGACTTTTACCAAAAATACCCATGACTAAATCTTAGCCTTACATATGGTACATTAGTATAGATTTGCTGCATTGGAATAAAATAGAAGCAAATAATGGTTCCCATATCTCATAAAACCCCATGTATTTGAGCCCCTTCTTGTGAAACTTCATTTTATCCTAATTTCTGTCAATACCTCTAGGGTCAATTACCTACCCCAAAATTTCCTTGATTACCCAACCCCCTATTTCTCTAAATATTATAATAGAATAATATTGATCAATAAATGGTCTCTTTGAGCTCAGTGTAGAGAACTTCTAATCAGTTTAATGAAGGGTTTTTTTTAATACCCCTATAATGCTATGTTTCCAGTCCAATAATAGTAACTTCTGTGTGTGCTTTGTCTCATTCCTTTAGGGAAAGACATCTCCCTCACAGTGAAAGGATCCCATGAAGAGACCCAAGACCTTACATTGGCCTCTGATCCCATCATTAGATCCTCATGTCCCACTAAGTTTCACTATGTCAAGTATAAGCAGCCAGCATTGGATGTTATTCTACCAAAGCAGAAACCACGTTACTCCTTTGTAAGTTATCATTGGCCTTAATAAATTTAGTAGTAACTTTAAAGAAACACATGCATTAGATAGCAACATTAATCTATCTTCATTTTACTCCTTGTGATATAAACTTGTATGTATTTCTTCAGCGTAGCTGTTCCTATAACACAAAGGCAGACTCACCAAATGTGGCTCTCAATTCACTTCCCACAGGAGAGAAAGTAACAATAGCAGAGGTGAGTGCCTATTGTTAGTCCTTAGGAATAAACACTGATCCATATCTGGATTATTACCCGTGTAACAATAATGGCCTAGATTGCCTCCTTCCTTGGAAAAAATAATGGAAAAAATAATGGAAAGGGGATAAGAGGAGGAGGAGAATGAAGATAATCCCCTCAATGAATTTTTCTGGCATTATCCCTATGGTGAAAGAGGTTAGGGAAATTTGATTTCAAAGGCTGTGCCCCTTCCCACCTCCATGAATCTTGGGAGCCAGATCTCTGTCCCACAAGGGTCAACTGACTCTCCATGTGTTCTGTTGTCTCTGACAGTGGAGCTCCAGCTGTAGCCATGCAACTATAGTGTTCCGGAATGCAATCATTGGAACCATTGTTCCGGAATGCAATTTTGTATTTATGTACCTGGGATGGGGAGTTCCAAGATTCCAAACTCATTGCAGTGGGCCTAAGTGAATGGAAGATGGAGGACAATGGCTCATATAGCAGAGATCTCAGCCCAGTACACTGGTGCAGTTGCCTGAGAAGGCTGGGAAATTGGGAACTCCTGATTTATTCTATGATTCTGAAATGTTATGGGGATTAACAATATGCTTTATGATTATGTAAACCCAATTTAAAGGGCCACAGTTAAGTGATGTTGCTAAGAGCCAAAATTTAGCTTTGGAAAAGAAAACACACTACTACTCACAAAAACCCTGGATTCTACAAAAGCTAATAGCTATAATGAGATTTTCATGATTAGCCAAACAAGTCACCTTGAACTGTCATTTATTCCACCAGTTCTCAACCAGTGCTTGTGTCAAGGCTGCTTCCTCACTCTGAACTTTAGGGTACAAATGTGGGGGCCTGCATGAAAACTTCTAAGCTTAACTACCAGCTTAGATCTGGTCCGCTGCCACCACTCTCGATGCTAATTCCCTTCCCTGGGTAGCCCTGAGAGACTCTTCACCAATTCCCTAGTGAGTACAGATCCAAACCCCTTGGATCTTAAAACAAGGAGAAATTAACCATCCCCCCTCCTTCCTCCCACCAACTCCTGGTGGATCAAGATCCAACCTCCTTGGATCTAAAAACAAGGAAAAATCAATCAGGTTCTTAAAAAGAAGGCTTTTAATTAAAGAAAAAGGTAAAAATCATCTCTGTAAAATCAGGATGGAAAATAACTTTACAGGGTAATCAAACTTAAAGAGCCCAGAGGACCCCCCTCTAGCCTTAGGTTCAAAGTTACAGCAAACGGAGGTAAACACCCTAGTAAAAGGTACATTTACAAGTTGAGAAAACAAAGGTAAACTAACACGCCTTGTCTGGCTGTTTACTTACAAGTTTGAAATATGAGAGACTTGTTCAGAAAGATGTGGAGAGCCTGGATTGATGTCTGGTCCCTCTTAGTCCCAAGAGCGAACAACCCCCAAAACAAAGAGCACCAACAAAAGCCTTCCCCTCCCCCAAGATTTGAAAGTATTTTGTCCCCTTATTGGTCCTTTGGGTCAGGTGTCAGCCAGGTTAACTGAGCTTCTTAACCCTTTACAGGTAAAAGGATTTTGGAGTCTCTGGCCAGGAGGGATTTTATAGTACTGTACACAGGAGAGCTGTTACCCTTCCCTTTATAGTTATGACAGCTTGCCTCTTCAGGCTTTTGTGAGTGACACTCTAGACATTCCATCCTGATCTTAATGATAAATCACTGTGCTAGGTCTTGGGGCACTGCCGCTCATCTCCTCCTGTTCAGGGGGTGGGGGTAGGGGCATTGTAACTAGCCATGGAACTTTGGCAGCACCAGACTTCTGGTGGGTTCTAGATCACACACAGGCGCATGGGAGGAGACAAACACTGGCTAGTACAGCCCAAGATGTTCATCTGTTTAGAATGGTACAGTCACTGGAAAATGCTGAGAATTACTGAGAAGCTTTACAGAGAATAAATTAGTGGTGTTGAATCCATATACATGGCATCTCAGGTTGGTGTCTGCATTGCTGAAAAGGGACAAGATAAAACTCACTCAAAAGCTGACGGGAGGGGAAACCTTAAAAATGTGATGGCACTTAAGGTATTTGTATTCTTGGTTTTCAGGATAAAAAATTTGATTTGTATGTGAAGGCTACAGACTGGTAAGAGATCCATCCTCTTTAGATGTTAATGATTTTGTCAGCTAAATTCCGCTCTCTCCCTGTCTGTTTATGAGAAAAAGTCTGCTTACTGTATGTCAACAATTCGTGCAAAGAAATTAAAAGCGCACAACTTTAAATTCGTTTAGACTGAAAGCTGGAACTTTATATAGAAAAAGAACACAGCATATACTTTACCCAATATTTTCATCAGTTTAATGAGACTCATGTATGAGATAGAAGTAGTGGCAGAGTTAGCTATTTGAAATCTGTATTTGTCCTGTTATGTTGGTTTCCTGTTCAGCACAATCCATAATCTGTCATGATGCTGTTTAGATATAAAGTTGATCAGTTACAGTCAGCAAAGCTTATTCTACTACAGCTCTCAAAAAGGCATTGGGCTTTAATAATAGCCACCAGCTTATGTCTAAAATATAGCAGGATCCTCCTGGTAGTGCCTTCAGAAATTACTTATAGGAATTAATTTCCCTCTTTTTTTTCTTGCCTTTCTCTCTCTTGCTCATGTTACATCCGTTTGTCTATATAGAAGGGTGGGAAAGACTCTTCTGTCAGATTGACTGTTTTTGGAAGTGGTTGATTGTCTGCACTGTAAGTTCTAAAATTGACTATCAGTAACAACATGCAATATGTGTGCCTGTGTTTTTCCTGGTCTGTGTTCCAGCTCAGAAGACCTAGACGTGCGTTTGGGGTTTGACTTGTGCACAGAGGAACAGGATTTCCTCTGTAAAAGGAAGAACTATGTTGCTGCTGCTCTGAAAAAGGTTCTCCAGCTAGAGGAGGACCTGCAGGATGATGAGGTACGTAGGACAGAATCCCAGATGTTCCTCCTCAGCTCAAATGACCACTCAGCAACTGGACACCTAATGTGACATGTTTACTATTATCAAAACTTCTGAATGGTCAGGAGGCCCTCGATTCAAGGGTGGCCCTCTGATACCAGCATTCTCATCCATCACATCAGTGGACTCAGTTGTCTTATCCCTCCCCTCCTCTATCTCCAACACACTTGACTCCTTTGCCACACAAAGTCCATCCCAATAAGCCTCAGCCATGGCTCATTCCAAAAATCTGCTTCCTCCTTTCCTGTTCCCATGTCACCAAAAGCCTGTGGATGAAGTATCATGACCCCACGGTCTTACTCCAATGCACATTTGTTCTCTCCTTTTTAGTTCTGTCACATTCCTGGTCAAATAGTACTATTTTTGTCTCATTGACACCCATGCCCACAATTCCTGTCATTCATTTGTTACCTTTTGCTTCCTCTTAAAATCTTCTCCCATTCCACACCCTCCTTTCTTTCCATGAAAGATCCTGTCAATTTCACCAAACAGAAAATTAATACAGTCCTCCATGATCTCTGTCCTCCTTCCCCTTACTTGCCCCGTCACCTTCTAATACCCTCTTCTTCCTTTCCTGACTACTCTCTCTACCTATCTCAGGCTGGGTCTACACTACAGCAGGGGTCCGACCTAAGATACGCAACTTCAGCTACGTGAATACCGTAGCTGAAGTTGCGTATTTTAGGTCGGCTTACCTGGCGGTGAGGACGCGGGAAAGTCGACCGCTGCCGCCCTGCTGCCGACTCCGCTGCCGCCTCTTGCCGAGGTGGATTTCCGGAGTCGACGGCAGAGCGATCAGGGATCGATTTTACCGCGTCTTCACTAGACGCGGTAAGTCGATCCCCGATAGACCGATTGCTACCCGCCGGATCGGCAGGTAGTGAAGACATAGCCTCAGCAACTCCATCTCTTCCCCACTCCGACCTTTCCTTACTATCACCCCTCCCATACTTCTTCCTTAACCTGTCACTGTGCTCTAGCTACTTTCCCTCACAATATAAGTATGTTTTGGCCTTTATCCATCATAAGCATCTATACTTCTCACCACCTGCCTCTCTAATGACTGCCTGATCTCCTTTTCTCTTTCACCTCACAACTGACAGAATACACCATTTATATTTGTTGCCCTGAATTAAATTTCCTTCTGCTTCATCTTGCATCCCATCCCAGCTAGTTATCAATTCCTTTCTCCAGCAAAATTGCTCTCACTCAAGGATTTTAATAACGTCAGAATCTCAGGCTCTACTCCATCCTCATCCTCCTTGTTCCTTCCAGTGCTTTTGACACTATTCATAATCATCTCCTTCTTGACATTTTCCCTCTCTGAGATTTTTGTGGTACTGTCCTCACTTGGTTCTCTTCCTATCTTACTATTTGATTCACTGTACCTCTTTCCTCTTTCTGTATGTTTGTTTTGCCCTCAGGGAAAGAACTGTTCCTCTTTTTGTGTTTGTACCAAACATAGTACATTTTAGGTACACTGGAAACAAATAACAATAATACTTGAACAAAAGCAACTTCTCCTTCTTCTTTGCCTTCACCTTGTCCCACTTAGTCGGGGTTGGAGGCTCTTGTTCTTTATCTCCAAGCATTCCTATCGAGTGCGTCTTCCAACATGTCCTCTTTAGGAATATAGAACTACCTTTTTCTTGGTCTTTCTCGGGGTCTTTGATCCATGACAACCAGATCTTATACTCTCTCACCAGCATACCCCATGTCTCATCATTTCATTTGACCCAGCCATCTCAGTCAATACTCTCTCAACTTTTCTATGATAGGGCTACTCCCTTCGTGGCTCATACAATTTCATTGTGTAGCCTATCAGCGCTTGTCTTACCCAGCATCCACCTGAGCATTCTTATTTCAGCAGTGTACCATTGTTGTTCTTCTGTCTCCCTACTTAGAGTAGCAGTAGGAATATACTACTGACCACCTGACTGGGATGGTGATGGTGATTGTGAAATGCTCAGGGAGATTACAAACACAGAATACCCAATAATAATGGGGAATTTCAATATCCCCCAATTTGACTGGCTACATGTCACCTCAGGACAAGATGAAGCGATAAAATGTTTAGACACCATTAATGAGAACTTCTTGGAGCAGCTAGTCCTGGAACCCTCAAGGGGAGAGGCAATTCTTGATTTAGTGCTAAGTGGAGCACAGAATCTGGTCCAAGAGGTGACTATAGCTGAACCGCTTGGTAATAGCAACCATATTGCAAGTAAATTTAACATTCTTTTGGGGGGAAAATACCAAAGAAACCCACCACAGTAGCACTTAACTTCAAAAAGGGGAAACTACACAAAAATGAGGAAGCTAGTTAAACGGACATTCAAAGGAACAGTCACAAGAGGGAAATGCCTGCAAGCTGCATGGAAACTATTTAAAAACACCATGTATACCCCAACACTAAATGTATACCCCAAATAAAAAAAACAGTAAGAGGATAAAAATGCCACAGTGTCTAAACAACAGAGTAAAAGAGTTAGCTAGAGGCAAAAAGACTTCATTTATAAACTGGAAGTCAAATCCTACAGAGGAAAATAGAAAGGAGCATAAACTCTGGCAAGTCAAGTGTAAAGGTATAATTAGGCAGGCCAAAAAAAGAATTTGAAGAGCAACTAACAAAAGATACAAAAACTAACTGCAAACATTTTTTAAGGACATCAGATGCAGAAAGCCTGCCAAATAATCAGTGGGACCACTTGATGATCAAGGTGCTAAAAAGCACTCAGGGAAGACAAAGCCATTGTGGAGAAGCTAAACAATTTTTTTGCATCAGTCCTCACTGCAGAGGATATGAGGGTGGCTCCCATGCCTAAGCCATCCTTTTTAGGTGACAAATCTGAGGAACTCTCCAAAATTGAGGTGTCAATTGATAAACAGTAATAAGTCACCGGGACCAGATGTTTTCACCCAAGAGTTCTGAAGGAACTCCAATATGAAAGTACAGAACTACTAACTGTGGTATGTAAGCTATCACTTAAATCAGATTCTGTACCAGATGATTAGATGATAGCTAATGTAATGCTGATTTTTTTTTAAATGTCCCCATAGGCAATCACAGTCTGGTAAACCTAACTTCAGTACAAGGCAAATTGGTTGAAACTATTGTGAAGAAGAGAATTATTAGGCACATAGATGAACACGATATGCTTTTGTAAAGGGAAGTCATGCCTCACCAATCTATTAGAATTTTTTGAGCGTATCAACAAGTATGTGGAGAAGGGTGAGCCAGGGGATATAGTGTACTTAGACTTTCAGAAAGCCTTTGATAAGGTCCCACAACAAAGGCTCTTAAGCAAACTGTGCAGTCCTGGGATAAGAAGGAAGGTCCTCTCATGGATCAGTAACTGGTTAAGAGATAAGAAACAAAGCATAGGAAAGAAATGGTCAGTTTTCACAGTGGAGAGAGGTAAATAGCAGGGTCACCCAAAGATTTGTACTGGGACTAGTGCAGTTCAACATAGTCATGAATGATCTGGCAAAGGGGGTAAACAGTGAGGTGACAATGTTTGCAGATGATACAAAATAGTGAAGTCCAAAGCAGACTGTGAAGTATTACAAAGGGATCTCACAAAACTTGGTGACTGGGCAACACAATGGCAGATGAAATTGAATGTTGAAAAATGCAAAATAATACACATTGGAAAACATGATCCCAACTATACATTCAAAATGATGGGATCTAAATTAGCTGTTACCACTGAAGAAAGATTCTGGAGTCATTGTGGATAGTTCTCTAAAAACATCTGCTCAATATGCAGCGGCAGTCAAAAAAGCTAACAGAATGTTAGGAACTATTAGGAAAGGGATAGATAATGAGTCAGAAAATATCATAATGCCATTATATAAATTCATGGTACTCCCAAGCGTTGAATACTCCGTACACTTCTGGTCATCCCATCTCGAAAAGATATATTAGAATTGGAAAAAAGAATTTGGAAAAAAATAAATGAGAATTGCCAGAGAAGGGCAACAACAATATGGAACAACTTCCATATGGGGAGAGATTAAAAAGATGGGGACCGTTTATCTTACAAAAGAGACAACTAATAGGAAAGGCTACCATTGTGTCATAGAGGTCGCAGAAGTCACGGAATCCGTGACTTCCAGAAACCTCTGTGACTTCAGCCCACGGCGGCTGGGAGCTGCAGGGTCTCCCTGCCATCTGTGGCGGTTGGGAGCTGCAGGGTACCGCGGGGGCCAGCTCTGAGCCGCTGTGGGTAGGGTGACCAGGTGTCCAGTTTTTGACCGGAATATCTGATTGAAAAGTGATCCTGGCAACTCCAGTCAGCACCACTGACCGGGCCGTTGACTGTCCAGTTGGAGGCACCACACAGCGGGGCTGGCAGGCTCCCTGCTAACCTCCGTGCCGTGCAGCTCCCGGAAAGCAGCCAGCATGTCTCCTCTCCAGCTCCTATGTGTAGGGGCAGCCAAGGGGGCCTGCACACTGCCTCTGCCCCAAACTGCCGGACAGGGCAGCGCGCAGAGCCACCTGGCCATGCCTCCACGTAGGAGCCAGAGGAGGGACGTGCCACTGCTTCTGGGAGCTGCTTGAGGTAAGCACCGCCTGGAGACTGCACCCCTGACCCCCCTCCCATGCCCCAATCCCCTGCCCAAGCCCTAATCCCTCTCCTGGCCTCCGAACACCTTGATTCAAACTCGGAGCACCCTCCTACACCCCAAACCCATCATCCCCAGCCCCACCCCAGAGCCTGCACCTCCAGCTGGAGCCCTCACCTTAACCAACCCCCTGCCCCAGCCCTGATACCCCTCCAGGCCTCTGAACCCCCTCGGTCTCAGCCAGAGCACCCTCCTACACCCCAAACCCATCATCCCCAGCCCCACCCCAGAGCCCGCACCCCCAGCTAAAGCCCTCACCCCACCCCGTACCCTAACCCTTTGCCCCAGCCCTGATCCCCCCTGCCCTCCAAACCCCTCGGTCCCAGCCC